AATTTCTAGTTCTTCCGCTTGAATTAAAAAAAAAAAGCTTGTTTTTGGATTTCTCTGTTTTGAAATAAAAACCGAGTCTACCAACCAGTAATCTCTTCTTTAAACTAAAACAGTAAGATTATCATCCGGTAGATTCGTTTTTTATTTTAGAACAGAAAAATTGAAGAAGAAGCTTTTTTTAAAATTTTAAGCAGAAAAATTGGAAAATTTCCTTCTTTTTTATTTTTTGTCATTGCAGAAAACACTCTTGATTTAATTTACAATAGTGGTTTTTATTATTTTTCAAAAAAAATTTTTTTGAGTACACAAATGGCATACTTGCATGTCGGCATAAATGTTGGCAGACTTTAGAATACTTTTTTTTTTTTTTTTTTTTTTTTTTTTTTTGTAGATCCATTACATTCATGAGAAGTTCCTGACATCTACGGCTCTTATCGTGATTTTTCCTCATGGCTCTAGCTTTAGTTTCTGTATATATATCACAGATTTTAGTGATCTCCTGATTTTCCATATTTTTGATCTATATTGGTGTTGGCCATACACACCTCACTGTTGACGAGTAGCACAAGTAGTCCCAATTCGTAAGAAAGGGAACTTAACTGATCCAGTCAATTACTACCTAACTAGTCTGACTACTAGTTCCAGAAGAAAAAACGCTCAAAGCGTGCATCAAAGAACTTCTCCAAGGTAAAAGTATCGTCCTTAAACACTGCTCAAGGTGGCTTTAGAGAATGCAAAAGTGTCCTTGACCAAGCTCTTTGTCTTTCAGAGATTTGCAGATTGCTTCCTCATAAAAACACTCAAGACTGCTCGCTCTGTACTTTATTGGAGTAGCACATGAGCATTTATGTATTCGCTTTTATCCAAAATCATCTCTATGTAACATGCTATCACAAATAATCTACTCCTTCCAACATCCAAGCAAATGTTTCTATTTCTTCTCAGGTTCCAAACAAGCATCCAAAAATACCATTAGATTGACGCTCTCCTCTCTATCCCTTTTTTTCCCTTGTTCTCTCAAGGTATTTTTAGCTTGGTATAGTCATTCTTATGAATTGATCAAGTTCGAGCAGTCAAAGGCCACATTGAACCATGTGCTCAAAAGGACCTTTTCTATAATATCAATAAATTAACAAACTTTAATTATAAGTTTGAAAAAATCAAAACCAATGTGCAACTATGCTATTTGTGCCAACAGAAAAACATTTCTAGAAAACAAACATTTTTAGGCAAAAGAGATACACTCTCACTGCAGCGTAACCGGTTGCATTTTTCTCCATTTCTGAATGCATAACTCTTCCATCACTTATGCTGTAGTGTCTTTGATTTTAAAAGAACTAAAAAAAAAAGAAAAATGTTGTTAAAAATGTTGTCAAAAAAATTAATAAATTTTGCATAAATTTTGCATATATTGTCAAAAAAAAGGGTCAAAAGACTAACTTTTTTTTTTTTTTTTTTTTTTTTTTTTTTTTTTTTTTTTTTTTTTGGTTTTTCTGTTTTCTATAAATCCATTACGGTAAGGAGCAAATTAATTTTAAAAATCTAAGATGCAAATTTTTATACAAATTTTTTTTTTACTATACTACTCATCCATGCTATTTCTTGCTATTTCTTGCTATTTCTTGCTATTAAATGGTGTCTGATCATGAGTAATAGGCCTTGAATAATTTCCAATCTTAAAGCTTTGTATTTGAGGTAGAATTGGTTAAAAGGTATATTTGGCCATTTTCCACAAGTCGTTTTTTTGGTCGAAATCAATTCCAAATGTACCATGGATGTTAGAAAACATAGTTTGTAGGTATTTAGTGCATTTATGTGTGTATAGGCAGATTTTATGCTACTTCTGTATGCTCAAGAAAACGGAGAAGATCTGTATGAATTCTTGTCTTTTTTACGCTTGAAGAATGTATTTGTCTGACGTCTCTTTTACATAAACAAGTAATGCACTTTCAGGCCGTTTATTCATTGAGTGGGTGGGTTTGATGATTCGAATCTAAATCGAGTTGACTCAGATTGTTTGACAGTCAACTGCCCCATAAGTATTTCTTAAAAATGTATATCCTAGATGTAAGTAGTGAAAGAAGGCGCATTGCGCCAGGAGCTTCGAGTGCTACCCAGCTCAAGATGTTAGTCCAAACTGAATTGAGCATTCCGGACACGCTTCAGAGCATTATATCAGGGACAAAAGATCATAATTAAAGAATAAGCAAGATCTAGAAGCTTTATTGAAAAAGAGAAGGAGAAATACACTTTGTTTGAAAAAGGTTTTGTTGCACAAGCCTTTATTTAAACAAACATTTCTACAACAGCGCTACTGATTTTGCGTTTCGCGTATATATTCTATTATGAAATTGTTGGAGTCGACGCAAATACTGCTGCAAAAATCAATTATTTACAAACCAAGTAGTTGGGTTATTCTTTATTTTAAAAAATCTCATTACAATTAAAAATAAGAAAAAGAATTAATGAGGGGGGGGTTTCTCATCCCAACAAAACTCGAAGTACATTTTTTTTGAGCATACACCATCGCCGACAACTAATTCCTTAAAAAATAGTGGTTAAAATAGAGTTTGGTTTTTAACGATTCAAGCTTTGGCCAATTTTAATTTTTTTTTTATATGGTAAGGGTAGCAAAATGTTTACATTTATCAAAAAAAAAGACCCGTAGGCCAGAAGACCCGTAGGCCAGAGGATAAAAACAGAAGAAAAAAATGGAAAAAATGAAAATCATCCCTTTTTATAAGTTCAGGATTACTGAAAAGCAGTCATAGTATGCACACGGTTCTCCCTATTTTGTGCAAAAAAATTCCAAATATGGTAAGCTCGAGTTGATAATACTGCAATTTTCCAGTTTAACTTTTGTTTTACCATCAAAAACAAAAATTACTTTTTCTCTAAAAACGTATTTATTATGCAACCCTTGCCTACTAAAAACATTTCCTTTAAACGACGTCTCATTAGAGAGCCCGAAGAAGAAATAGAAGACGAATTCGAACAGCAAGTTGAAGTTTCTTGCGAAACTCGAAAGAAAACCGCCCTTGAAAAAAAATAAAAACCACCTTCTGGGAAAATCAAAACCGCCTTTTGGAAAATTAAAACCGCCCTTTGGCGTTGGAACGACTGTGTCTTCTAAGATTTTGAATTCTTGGACAATGAAATATAAAAATCCAAATAAGGAAATCAATTTCAGAACAATAGATATATATAAAGAATCTACATCTGTTTATTTACCTGCTTGCTGTTTCTCCTACATACACTTGAAGAAATTGATAAGCTCAAAATAAGTTGAACAGTACATAGATAGATGAATATGCGAAAATGAAGGTGAGATTTGGAAAACATATTGATGTTTACAAGAAAGCAAGGACATGTTGAGAGGCCTGTATGACAATCCAAGAATAAGGCTATGGGGTATGAGAAGAGACATGTGCACAAAGAAGACTAGGGATTGTATTTGCTCACAGGAGTGTGCATGATTAAATCCAAAGGCAGAAAAAGACGACAGTGATCCAAAAGGCAAGAAAAAGTCAGGACATCAAAGCACCTCTAAACAGTTGATAATGATGATTGGTGATCAGGGGTATAGGCATTGGCTCAAGAATCAAAGGACACTTGCGATATAGTAGTACTTGAAAGCAAGACATGCATGTTCGTTATACAACTGTCTGTATTACCAATGAAAACATTACATCTTAGACCTGTGTTTGCTGTTTCCAGAAACTTCAACATCCTAAGCAATTGGTCAAAAGACAGGAACAACATAATACAGAAACATGAAAGGTGCTTTTAGTTTGTTATAATCTTGAATGTCCCTCAGTCAAGCATGGTCGTAGTATAAATGGAAAAGATAAGGTATCTAGCTTTAGCCATTGCTATAGCCAATTTGCTCTTTCATGAAACCCTTCCTGCTTTCTTCTCAAGCGTCAGTCACTCCAATACTGAACCAAATTTGAGAACAGCAGCCTTCTATACTAGAAGCGGTGTATCAGTCAAGAGTTTAGCATCTCTTTAACTAAGTATTCTATTAACATTTTTAAAGCTTCCGATACATTCATTCGAACTCTAATGACAAACAACACTCAAGAATTGCAAGCTTCAAAGAATCATCCCTAACTCTTCTGAACCAGAAACTAAAATAAGCCTTAAAGATGTCGAAGAGTTTGAAGCGTGATTTACAATGTGAATAAAATACAGTTTCTTTTAAGCATAGTCTTATGGAGAAAAAGACAATCTTATCTCTTCCTTGTCCTGTTTATCGTGGATAAGTACTAAGCCCATTCATTTGAACGTGAATAGAGAAGAAAAGCCTTTGTTGACTCAATGGGTATGCTTCTTTAGTGATATCTATTGTTGATCATTCGCAGTTATTGTCTTATTCTATACCATAAGTCAAGAATACACCACAATATAGAGATAAGGCATTCAATTGAATAATAAAGAGCAAATACTACCATAAGGACATGATCCATGCGAGTTTAAATACAGTAAAGTAATAATGAATTAGCCAATCAAATGCCTTGTAATTCCAATTTATAAGTTACTTGTGCTTCCCTTTCATTTTGTTTCTTTCTCTTTATTCACCATGTCTGATGCAAAGTATTTTCAAAGAGGTACAATATACCAGGCAAATATATTACTTAGACATGAATAGGCAAAATTCAGGAACTACGTGCTGAACTCACATCTGAAAAGCGCGACCAAAAGCATCAGCGTAAAAAGACAGTGATGAAAAAGATTGTAGCCAACATGACAATGGGCAATGATATGTCACCTTTATTCCCTGATATTCTAAATGTGATGCAAGTACCTGTTCTAGAAATCAAGAAAATGGTCTATCTCTATATTATCAACTATGCACGTACTAAACCAGATATGGCTGTCATGGCCATTTCTATGTTTATCAAGGTAAGGTTGTTTGTATCGTCATGGATATCATGTTCAGTATTCTTTAGGATGTAGAGGATCCTAATCCTCTTATTCGTGCATTAGCTATTCGTACCATGGGCTATATTCAAGTAGAAAAGATTGTAGATGTATTAGTAGACCCACTCCGACACAGTTTAAGAGACAGAGATCCTTATGTGAGAAAGACAGCTGCTACTTGTGTTGCGAAACTGTATATGTATGATCGTGTGCTTGTGGAGAGTGAACACTTTGTAGATATGTTGCGAGATTTATTAGCCGACCCTAATCCTACTGTAAGTGACACAGTGATAAGATGGCCATTGACAGTCCTCTAGGTGGTTGCTAATGCAGTAGCAGCATTGACCGAGATATCCGAAAGATCAGACCATATTCAATTACGACTGAATCATTCTATTGCTAGTAAGCTTGTAGCTGCTTTAGGTGAATGTTCAGAGTAAGTAGGAATGACAGCAACCATTTTCTTATATATAAATAGATGGGGTCAGACATACATTTTAGAAGCATTAATGTATTATGTGCCTCAAGAGACAGGCGATGCAGAGATGCTGGCTGAGCGTATCTCTCCTCGTCTTCAACATGCTAATTCAGCTGTTGTCTTGACTGCTACCAAAGTCATGATGTACTTGATGAATTATATGAGCAATGAAGAAGAAATCAGTCAATTATGTAGAAAGCTAGGTCCTCCTTTAGGTAACAAAAATACATACATATTGATATACTGATAATATATGAATAGTGACATTGTTAGCTTCTGGTTATGAAGTACAATATGTTGCTTTACGTAACATTCAATTGATTATACAACGTCGTCCTGAAATCCTCAAGAATGATATCAAGGTCTTTTTCTGTAAATACGATGATCCCATCTGTGTCAAACTAGGCAAACTTGAGGTCATCTTTAGACTAGCTAATGAAAGAAATGTGGATATTGTCTTGAATGAATTGAAAGAGTAAGAACAAGGTCTAGTGAATTACATGACTCATTTTAACAGGTATGCTGCTGAAGTGGATGTTGATTTTGTTCGCAAGTCAGTACGAGCTATTGGTCGATTGGCTGTCAAGATTGAAAGTGCTGCTGATAAATGTATTTCTGCCTTACTAGAATTGATTCAGACCAAAGTCAATTATGTTGTCCAAGAAGCCATTATTGTCATTAGGGACATCTTTAGAAAATACCCTAATCAATATGAAAGTATTATTGCCACTCTCTGTGAAAACCTGGATGATTTGGATGAGCCAGAAGCAAAGGCTTCTATGATTTGGATCATTGGTCAATATGCTGATCGTATTGAAAATGCAGACCAATTGTTGGACGATTTCTTGTATACATTTTTAGAAGAACCTTATGAAGTAAGTTTAGCTATAAAACGATAGAGATTGCTTATTTTCTTTTTTTGTTTGTCTATAGGTTCAATTGGCCTTGTTGACTGCTACCGTCAAATTGTTTGTTCAGAGACCAACAGCAGGCCAAGAACTTGTGCCTAAAGTATTAAAATGGGCTACAGAAGAAGTCGATAATCCTGATTTACGTGATCGTGGCTACATTTATTGGCGTTTATTATCCACAGATCCTACTGCTGCTAAGGCTGTTGTACTTTCTGATAAACCTGCTATCACAACAGAAAGTGATAATCTTGATCCTAATTTTCTGGATGAGCTCTTGCTTCATATTGGTTCACTTGCTTCTATCTATCACAAGAGTCCAACTACGTTTATTAGTCGATACAAGCCTCGCCATTTACTACCCTCTGCTGTCTTGAGACAATCACCCAAGGCAGCCAGTAATTATGTCGAAACAAACCCAGTTTCTTTAATTCAACAAGAACAACAGCAACAGCAACAGCAACAACAATTAGCGTCTACGCCTTTCAATGATTGGAGCTATAATGCAGCTACCAGTACAAACCGTGTTGTTTCTATTCAGACCAATAACCCTTATTCTACTGATCTACTACAGTAGCTTGTTTATTACTTAATAAAATTTGACGTATTGGTCCTTGACTTGAGTAAGCCAAATGAGTGAGGAAACTAATAGTATGTCATGTTAATATGTTATCATTTCCTCTCTCTCTCTCTCTCTCTCTATATATATATATCTTACCAGCAACAATCATGGGAGACATGAAAGGACCATTCAGTTTACAGCCACCAAAAACAACCAATTCACCAACAAAATGTGTCAAGGCAATCACATAGGTCCAAATACCAAGATCATACATACTGAATGATGTGTGAGCATTTTCTTATATGGTTAACTTACAATTTATGTTGAAGATGGAAAGCAGCATAAATACGAATCATACTAACAGACCAAGTCCAGGTGGCAAACAAGCGACCACTGAGAGGAGTCACTACAGTGATGATGAACACAGTAGCTCATCTCAAGTCCTACTTTACCTTGTTCAGGTTTATTGGCATAGACGCGTTTAGTTAAAGAACTGGTGCAAAAGTTTTGAATAGAGTTAAAGATACCAAGAGCAGAGGTGAACAATAACCACTTGGGAAGATAACCTTCGGGGAAAGTAGAAAACACGTCTGTGACACGACTATATAAAGATTCCATCGAGAAACAAAAGCGTCAATAAAGAACTTTTTCTCGAGTCAATTTAGGTAAATAGTTACACAAAAAAGTCTATTTAATTTAAAGAGACCATTCAAGATGCTTAAGCCAATCGAAATAAAAATTGGCCCAGTTTTTTGTCATACGAAGGTATCCTAATCCAAGAGCCAAGATGATACTTGAACTCACTCAATTCTTTGTCGGCAATTTGTTGAGATGTTCATTTTAAGATAATATAAATAGAAAGAAATCTGTACTTGGTGGTACAGCCTTTGGCATTAATCACAACTTAGTATTGGTGGGTCATATTGTGTATGAATGTAATGATTTGAAACAATCATGCAATTGAAAAGATAATGGCATTCAGCTACTTTCTCGTATTTGTGTCATTATCTCACATAGACTGGCTAGTTTCCCTTCTATTCTCCGCTCCTTCTTGTAAACTAATGCAAATGTTATTTGTGCTCTGCTTAATTTTCCAAAGTGTAGGTGTGACAAACGTAGTTAGCAATTTTGCCAATAAAATTTTCTAGCATGAACAAACTCGTTTCCATAGGATAATGAATTGAGATACTGTATCTACAGAATTCCTTATTCATGAATTAAAAGAAGAAAAGTAAGTAAGTGGGTGAGTGAAAGCTTTCTTTTTTTTTATTTTATTTTTGTTTGTATCAATAGGTTGATTCGGAGCCGCGAATGTGACTTTTGTTCACTATAAAAGCGCATCTTGACATTCTATTTTATTCTTATACTTTTCAGCTTCCCTCCCTTTTTTTTTTTTGGCTATTATCAAGAATGATACAAAAAGTCAAAAAGTATTTCAAAACCCTAGGGAAATTCATTGGCCCAGGATTTATGATTGCTGTTGGCTAGTAAGGCATCAAAGCGATAAATGCACTTTAACTCATTTATATTTTAGCTTGGATCCAGGAAATTGGGCAACAGACATGGAAGGAGGGTCTTCTTTTGGTTACCGGTTACTTTTTATTATTTTGATCTCCAATATCATTGCTGTCTTTTTACAAAATCTGACTATCCGACTTGGTACCATTGCTGGCCTTGATTTAGCAGCTGCATCACGAAAATATTTCCATCGTTACCTCAATTTCTTTTTGTATGTTTTAGCAGAAATTGCTATTATTGCAACTGATATTGCTGAAGTCATTGGCTCTGCCATCGCCCTTAATTTATTGTTTCCTCAACTACCTTTACCAGCTGGCGTTGCAATCACAGCAGTCGACGTATTTATCATTCTTTTGTTTTATAACGAGGAAGCCGATGATCCCGATTCTCCCAGCTCAGACTCCGCTTCTCTTAAAATGATCCGGTTCTTTGAAATGTTTGTTATGATGCTTGTATCGGCTGTTGGTATTTGCTTCATTATCGAACTAGCCTATTCTGATATTGTTGCTGTGGATGTATTTAAGGGATACTTGCCAACCAAAGAAATCTTCACTGATCCAGATATTCTTTATGTTGCCATTGGCATCATTGGTGCAACAGGTAACCATTTATCGTTTGTACAAGGTCTAATGTGTCTTGCAAGTCATGCCACATAACTTGTATCTTCATAGTTTTATTGTTCAAGCACGTTGTCGTGAATGGCGGTCTTCAAGGCCTCACGTTGTCCAACAAGGAGACCATTGGCTTATCAAAACTGACCCATTTCGTACAGACATCAAAGAAACAGTCCAAGAAGACTACAACGAAAAATCGCATACCATCGTTGCTGTGGACTCTGCTTCATCTTGTGTTTCTCGCACAGGCGGTCTGAACCTTGAGGCCATGCGTAGCTTTCTTGATAGTTCTTTGAAATGTAACTTGCATTATGGGTTTATTGATCTGGTTGTTGCTCTCACGTTTGCCTTTTTCGTTAATTCTGCTATTCTTGTGGTTGCTTCAGCTAACTTTTATTATGGGCCTAACAATCAACAACAACAAGTAGAAGATTTGTTTAGTGCACATGCCCTTTTGAAGCAATATTTAGGTCCCCCTGCTGCTATCGTGTTTGCGCTTGCTTTATTGTGTGCAGGCCAATCCAGTACATTGACGGCTACTCTAGCTGGTCAAGGTAAAATTTATTTTGCAGTAGTAGATTCTAACATAGTGATAGTGATCATGAGCGGGTTTTTAGGCATGACGACGAGACCTTGGATACGACGTATCGTTACACGATTGATTGCTATCATTCCTGCCATGATAGCAGCTTGTGTTGCTGGTCGTTCAGGTTTAAGTAACATGCTTGTGGCAAGCCAAGTAGCACTTAGTATTCAATTACCTTTTGCTGTTGTTCCTCTTGTCTATTTTACTGCTAAAAAGAAAGCCATGAAACTCGATCTGGTAGTTGAAGCCAAGGACATGAACCCTGAGCCTGTCTCTATGACTCAACAAAGTAAAATGTCTTTTATCGACCGTACTTTTGCTCGCTTGCGATTTTCCAACTCCAAATCAGATTGGATTCGATTCCCTCAATTCAGTAAAATCAATATGGGTGTTATTAAAAATTATTGCGTTCGACAAGACAATACACTGTCCACAGAAGACAAACAAGAAGGCACAAGCACACCGCCCAGTACTATAAAACCTTTGGGTATACTTGGACATTGGCCTGAGCCTCTGACTTATCCTAATGGATGGATATCGAATATCATTGCTATTTTGATCTCTTTATTACTGATTGGTCTCAATAGTTATCTTGTTGTATCATTATTTTTACAGATCTAATACCCCCCCCCCTCTCTCTTTTTCTTTCACTCCTTATTGTGCACATATACATAAAACCTTACATTCATGTTGTACCTTTTTCCGTCTCATAAAAAAAAATAAGCGGGAGTTAAACCATGAATTGTGTTGTAAAAAAGTTGTTGGTTTAAGAGTGTGTGCTCTCTTTTTTTAGTTGCTTTTCACCCGTTTTTTTTTTCCTTTTTTTTTTCTTTCTATCTCTTTTTTTTTTGTATCTCAATGTCAGCAGCAGAATATAAAAAAAAGTTATACGATATTCAAAGACAAGGTGAAAATAAGCTTTGTTTTGACTGTGGGGCTCCTAACCCTCAGTGGGCAAGTATTTCCTATGGTATTTTCATTTGTTTGGATTGTTCAGGTGTCCACCGTTCTTTTGGTGTTCATATTAGGTAAAGACCTTGAAAAAAGTCAAGTTGTGTTGATAGAATGTTAGTTTTGTTCGTTCCATTACGATGGATAAGTGGTTTGATGATCAATTAAAAAAGATGGAGGTAACAGAAGGTGGTGGTCTATATTTAGCTTCTCATACTCTTTCTTTAGCTGGGTGGTAATCAAAAAGCAAAAGCCTTTTTTGAATCTCAACCTGATTATTCGCCTGATATGACCATGAATGACAAATACCATAGTCATTGTGCTGAACTTTATCGTGAAAAGGTAAGAATGTAAGTAACTACATGTTAGTCTTCTAAAACAAAATTCTAGTTGGCAGCAGATGCTGAAGGTCGTCCTTGGACTCCTACACCCTCTGTAAGATCCAAATCCTCCGCCGGAGCTTCTAAAGTTGGTACGACGAGGTCATTAAACAGTCCAAACCGCCTTGGCTCAACCTTATCAAGCACACAACGCTCCAACTCTTCTATCTCCATGTCTGGCGGATTTGGAAGTGATTCTTACAACAGCAACAACAACAGCAGCAACAGCCTAAACCATGACAACCAAAAAGCACGCAATGAACAATATTTTGCTCAACTCGGAAATGCAAATGAAAGCAGGCCAGAGTAAGTTCAAATAGCATGTACAACATGATTTAATAATATAATTAGACATTTGCCACCTAGTCAAGGAGGTAAATTTACAGGTTTTGGTAACCCTCAATGTAAGTGAAACATAGGTTGTTCTTAGCTTACCATTCAATTAGTTCAAGGTGAATACGATGCTAGAAGAAATGGAGGAGGAAATTCTGTGGACATACATGAAATTATTAATGATCCTCGTGTTGCTATTGAAAAGGGTTGGTCGCTTTTATCCTATGTTGGTAAAGCGGCAGTAGAATTTGGAAAATATGCAAACGATAATTATGTGAAGCCTGCTGCACAACAATTGGCTGATCCCAACTTTAGAGGTCAAGTACGAGATAATGTTAGCAGCTATGTCAATTCGTTTACACAACCCAAGGTAACCAAAACACAATATCTATACGTATGTTGATTCTTTTCATAGTCATCCAATTATCATCAAGCAAGTGGTTCATACCAAAATGACTCTTTACGCTATTCTGGTATGAATTCGTCTCATACAAACGACATTCCCGACGATGATTTCTTTAATTCCACCATTCATAACTTACAGTCTTCTGACGATAACTTGAGCGGTCGTCATTCACCTGTAACCACCTCCACTCCACCAGCAAAGAACAGATCTGCAGCCAATATAACTAGCTCTGTTAGAGCAAGAGCTAATTCTTCAACAAAGAAGAAGTCAAATGCAAACAATTCAGATGATGAATGGGGTGCATGGTAAAAAAGCAAAGGAAAAGAAAAAAAAGTATCTAGAACTTTAGAGAACTTGATTGCGTTAAAAGAAAAAAAACTATTCATCTTTTTTTTTTATTACATATAAAATATCTATATCATTACTATCAGAAGGGGGAGGGGACTTGATGAGTTTATACGCTTTGGCAATGTATAGACAATATGAGATGAATGAAGAATTCTTTTGATGACATTTTTTGAATTATTCAGCTTTTAGGTTGGTTTGAAGAAATGAAAACTCGTTCAAAGTGAGCTCTGTTCCTGTCAACGTGTTTGTCCACTGTAAAAAAAATGAAAAAATGATGGTATGTATCACTTATGATATCTTCGTCGGCCTTTACGATTTTTAAAAAGAGAAGCAAAGCCAACTTTTCAACTGTCTGTTGAAGTCCTTGCTTGTTATTATTCTAATTGTTGAAATATTCTTTCCATATGACTTGTTATAAATCCGCATTAATCTTTCAAAGAAATGACACATCTTTGTTCTAAAAGAGCTTCTTTGTTTTGAAACTGATGTAGTAATATATTCAAACAATTTGGGTGGAAATTTGTTTATTTTGATATTTAGAATGGTCGGTTAATGTCTAGCGCAACATTCATTGATATGTTTTATGGTTCTACCCCTTAATAAACAGAAACATGCCTTCACAGTCTCTTCATCTAGCAAAAATAAGAAGACATCACCCAAACTCGAACAAGCATATACTTATCACTCCTTCCGACCTGTCATCATTGGTTTTACTCCTGAATCAACTAGCGTTGATTCAAATGTAGACCCTTCATCTCTCTCCTAACAATCAACTCCAACTTCCATCGATTTAGTGAAAACAATCTTAAAAGCTACTGAGAAAGGTTTTGTTCTCGTGGATATCAGTAACATCAAAGATTTTGAATTTCTGACATGCTTTTTCAATTTTTTAATAAGGATGTTGATAAAAACAATAAACTTGAAGAATACATCGGTAGAGTACCTACCACTCGAAAATACCTTGATCATTCTTTTATCGAAACTATATGGAGAAAACATACATATGGGTATGAGGCCATTTTGAACAAAGTATCATATTAGAGGATGGAACTTTCGTTGTAGGTTCTCCCAACTTGTCTACCAAAGCAAATATTGTGCGCCTTAAGCTGGAAAAACTTCTTGTAAAACCTCTTCGACTATTGCAGAAGAAAATGGAAGATTGCTTGTCTGATTTTGGTCAAGTCCTAAACCTTAGGACTAATAAGAGTCAAGATTGCTTTACTGGACAAGATTATGCAGCATTAAATCTTTGACCCATTAGGTCGATGACCCTCCTTTTGAACTTCTCCAGCGAATGCTTTCCTGGGATGAGGATGATGGTACGGTCCACCTAGTATTGTTTCAGTGGAAAGATATATAAGACATTGTCATACTACCAATCATAGTCACGGATTTGAAGGCAATGTTCAAATTGACTCGCCTTTTTCGTCTTAGTAGACTCATTTCTTTTTTCACTAAAAGCACCTGAAAGTGGTTTTATCTCACATCGGCTGGATCGCACTTTTTGTTTTGTCATCTTTACGAGCCCTCGTGATCCTCCATGGGTCAAAAAATAACAGATAAACCAATGGTACCATCCAATTTCTAGACTCGGAAGAACATGTTTTAAATGAAAAAACGGGATGTTTTGATAGTCTGGTTGTCGAGCAATGGTTCGTCAAAGAATAGTGCATTTAAGCTGTGTTTTGAGCATTTTCGCTCTAGATATCATATGAAGCGTATTAGCATTTGATCTCGCTAAAACGCCTTATATTGTTTGAGTGCTAGAAAACATAGAAAAATAGAAATATATGCATCCTATAATGCAAAGATGGGCTAAATGGACAAAAGATATACCAAATGGCTATGTTGCGAAGATTGAAATGGAAAAATGGAGGGCAACTCGAATTCTTTCCGCCGCAATAAAAATCTGGCTTTTGCTGAAAACTGCATAAAGATGCGGTTATTTGGCTTTGGTGTAGTGACAAAAGCTGTAGATATTTGCTTTCTGAGTCTGCTGATATAAAAAACACAGCATTTTTATTGCTAAAATATTGAGTAAACAGGCAAAGACGTTTTTGAGGTTTTTCACTCTTATCGTACCATTTCTATAATACAACTGGCAAGCAAACGTATTCACTAAAAACTAGAGAATTTGGCGCACATTTTGAGTGTTTGACCCTATCAATAGCTTTGTTTTTCGTCCTGTAACGTCCAAAAGAGGGTCAGAAGTTGTCAACGAGCTTTTTTCGTGACTAATACCCTTTGGTTTAAAGGTCATTTTGGCCATTTTTTACAAATCGCTTTTTTTGGCCCAAATCAACTCCAAATGTACCTTGTAAGTTAGTAAACATGGTTTGTAGGTACTTTAAGCATTTATGCGTGTATAGAAGGGCTTTGTATTACATTCATGTGCACATTTTTCATTAGAGAAGGTGCATCTATTTTGAAAGGAACAATGTTTTTTACATGTTTTGATGAAATCAATACATGTACGCAAAAAATGTCCATTTTTTTGGAGTGTACATTAGCATAGACTAAGTGCTCTCCCAAAGAAATGCATGTCAAGAAGCAAATTAGTTTATGAGAACTTAAGTAATATCTATGATTAGTAATAACATTTTTCCAGAAATTATCATCTGTTCTACCAGATGTGCTACCATGTTATTGTAACTGGCTGTATTATTTTATGTGCAACTGAATTTTCATAACGCAAAGTCAATCAAAAAACTAGACAGAGAGATTGTGATTTTCACGAGATACGTTTTATTTTCTAAAATATATTGGAAAACCTAAATACGATGAATTTACTAGTTGTATTAATTTATATAGTCAGTAATTTCGCTCTTTAGATAGACCTATGGGTTCATCAAAGAAGCTTGAGAATTGAACCTTCTTTTGGAATAGTCTTCCTATTCACTGAAAAAAAAATGACGGAATAACAGAAAATTAATTATTTAATGGGGGAATTGTTATTATGACACATGTCACGTTGCTTTTACCAGTGTCACAAAGAAATAGGTCGGGTTGATGTCTACTTGCAAATGTATTTGATAGAAATACAGTAAACGTACCTGGGAGTTTCATTTTTAGTTGTGTAGTTATAAAAATATCACCATCTCTTTTTAAGTTGTTTATTATTCTGAATTTTTTCTTTAATCAGATCTAGATCAAACTTTAATTTGTGCCTCAAAAATCCCATTTTTTTTCTTCTTCAAGCGAATCCTCGTCCCTTTTTAGCCATTATTGGCTTTATCCCGCCATTATAGTAGCAGCCTTTTTTCCTCGGTTAATGATGGATTTTTCTATTTCTCTTTCCCACACAATCTTTGCTTTTCGTTTGTAGATGTCATGACAGATGATGAAAAGGGCGGGAAAAAGGTGTCTTGTATTCTTTTAATCGGCTTTATACTCATGAGAAGTGTAGAAAAGCCCTCGGATGTAAGCTTGTGCGAAAAAAAAAAGACTTTTCTATGGTAAATTCACTTGAATACATGTTTATTCAGTAAAACTTTGATTCTAAGTGATCAGTTTATTACAAACACTATAAAAAGATCAAGTTAAAACCCTTTTTTTTTTTTCAACACAATATTATTTTTCAAATGAAATCTGTTCCTCTCTCCAAGGCTGTCATTCCGTTCCTATTGCTACTTGATTCTTTTAGTCTTCTGGCAAATGCTAAAATTACGCCATTAAGTTGGAAAGAGGCTTATTCCAAGGCAGAAAAGCTCGTGGATCAAATGTCTGTTGAGCAAATGGTCAAAATTACTACTGGTCAAGGATGGAGTAAGGGGCTATGTGTTGGTCAGACATATGCGATCGAGAGTCCTGATTTTCCTTCACTATGCTTACAAGATGGTCCCTTGGGTGTTCGTTTGGCTGACAATATTACTGCTGGAGTTGCTGGTATTAATGCTGCTGCTTCTTTTGACAAGAATGCTATCTATGAACGTGGTCGATACATGGGTCAAGAATTCCGAGGAAAAGGTGCTCACATTCAGTTGGGTCCAGTTATGAACCTGATGAGATCTCCCGAAGGTGGTCGTGGATGGGAAGCAAGTGGTGAAGATCCTTTTTTGAGTGGTGTTGTTGCTGCTGAAACTATCAAGGGTATTCAAGAAGAAGGTGTTATTGCTACTGCCAAACACTATATTCTCAATGATCAAGAGTTGAACAGAACCACTTCTTCTTCTGATATTGATGATAGATCTTTCCACGAAGTATATCTTTGGCCATTTGCTCGTGCTGTTGAAGCTGGTGTAGGTTCTATCATGTGCTCTTACAATATCATTAATGGTACACATGCCTGTGAAGATGATCATACCTTGAATACAGTTTTGAAAGGCGAGCTTGGCTTTAAGGGATTTGTCCAGTCAGATTGGGGCGCTACACATTCTACTGTTAATGCTGCTAATCATGGTCTTGATATGGACATGCCAGGTACTATTGGCTTTGATTTTAAGGCTAATGCTTCTTATTTTGGCAAGAATCTGACAAATGCTGTTCATGACAAAAAGGTGAAGAAAGAACGTCTGTCTAATATGGTAACTCGAATCGTTGCTGCTTGGTACAAAATGCGTCAAGACTCTGGCTTCCCAGAAACAACGATTGGTACTGGTGTACAAGTCAATGTTCAGGCAAATCATAGAAAACTGGTTCGCTCTATGGGTGCTGCCTCAAGTGTTCTTTTGAAAAACTCGGGTATTCTTCCTGTTGACCCTCAAAAAGTCAGCAAGATTGCTATCATTGGCTCTGATGCAGCACCTAATCCTGTGTACCTCGATAGCTCTCGTACATGTAGCAATGATACATGCACTGTTGGTACTGTTGCCCAAGGAGGAGGTTCAGGCGCTTCTTCTTTCCCTTATCTTGTGGATCCTCTCACTGGTCTTACTGAAGCTTTTGGCAAGAAAGTGAAGATTGCTTCTTCTTTAGATGACTATGATCTCGATAAGGCAGCCGAGACAGCGAAAGATGCCGATGTCGCTTTTGTCTTTGCAAACACTTTTGCTTCCGAGTCTTATGATAGAGCCAATTTATCTTTGAGAAATGAAGCTGATAGTTTGGTATGTATACATGGTTTTCTTTAAGGCAACAATCGCTAACATCATGGTATAGATCAAGGCCGTTGCTGATGCAAACAAAAACACTGTGGTTATTGTGCATTCTGTAGGGCCTGCACTCTTGCCATGGACTAACCACTCAAACATTAAGGCTATTCTCTGGCCTGGTCTTCCTGGTCAAGAAACTGGTAACTCTCTTGCTGATATCATTACTGGTGCTGTCAATCCCTCTGCTCGTCTTCCCTACACTATCGCCAGACAAGCCTCAGACTACAATGCCAAATCTGATCCTGCTTACAATGTCAGTTATTCTGAAAAGCTTTTATTAGGATACAAGTGGTTTGATCAGTCAGATATTGAGCCTTTGTTCCCATTCGGTCATGGTCTTTCTTTCACCACCTTTAAATATAGCAAGTTGAAGGTCAAGACATCCGGTTCCACATCTGTAACAGTAACAGTCTCTATTCAAAACTCTGGTAAATATGATGGTTCTGAAGTCGTACAAGCCTATCTTTCTTTTCCTCAAAGCGCTGGTGAGCCTCCTAAGCTCCTTCGCGGTTTTGAAAAAGTCTTTTTGAAGAAGGGCAAGAAGGAAACCGTCAAATTTGAACTCTCCAAGACTGAACTTAGTATATGGGATATTGTTTCTTCCAAATGGGTTGTACCTTCTGGTAAATTTACTATTCATATTGGTGCCTCAAGTAGAGATATTCGCCAATCTGCTACTTTCATTTTGTAATATGTACTTGAATAAACCAAATTATCTATTGTATTTATGTTGTACTACCATACCAAGAACTTTGAATAAATTTTAGTTCCGTTTAAATTTTCCTTCTTGCCATCAAGATCGTGAGAGTGTCTTACGAGAACCGAGATTCTGCATTGACTTTATGCGTGATATAAACATTGATCATGTGATAGCGTTAGATCAGTATGTATTATGTAGAAACAGATCAAGATTCATATGTTTATCAAGATTTTATTCAAACAAGTTCGTCCGTTCCTCTTTTCTTCTTTTTTTGGAATTTAGTTTTGTTTAAAAATTGTACACTTTATGCCATGGAACTATTTACGGTTTCCAAGAAAAAAAAAACTTGCTGATGATTTAAACTTTTTCTCTCAAGGACATTACATTGCATTTTGGTAGGACAGCTCATGAGAATTCTCTTCTGACTTGAAACGGCGCATAGACAGTGCCGAAACTTTTTTCAAATAAATCCCAGAGTTTCTTTTTTTTTCTTCACCCGATTTCTTTTCTTCTTTTCATTGTCATAGAAATCCAATTTCGTTTCTAAGGGCAGAATTATACCATTAGGTACTATATCTTCTTGAAGGAAAAGCTAAACTTATATTCGTTGTTAGAGAAGGAATGAGTTCGAACAATATTGCAAAGATCGGCTCCAAAAACAAACCTGACAATGACAAGGTCCTAGATCCTCATGAAGAAGTCTTTGAACCTCATGAGGAAGTTTCCGACGATTCCGAAATGACAGGAAAGGCCTCTCCTTTTGTATATACGCTCGTTGTCTGTGTATGTATTGGTGGTTTTTTGTTTGGCTATGATACCGGTGGTAAGCTGTTTCTTGTATTGTCAATGGCTATTTAATTTTTTCCTTTTATATTTAGTCATTTCGGGAGCTTTGACGCTTCTTCAACAAGATTTTAATATGAGCAGTGTGCAAAAAGAGCTTGTCGTTGGTGGTACTACTTTTGGTGCTATTTTCGGTGGTTTCTTTTCTGGTATTGTAAGTTTAGTCTTGATGCAAATTCATGTTCACTAATGTCTATTCAAAGTTAACGGATAGGTTTGGTCGGAAGGTTTGTGTTACATTTAAAATTTTTCATTCCGCTTTGACACTCTCCATAGATTCTTGTTATTGCGTCTTCCTTGATTTTTATTGCGGGTGCACTGATTCTTGCCTTGGCTCGCAATTATGGTGTGCTCTTGTTTGGCAGAGTTGTTGTTGGTCTAGGTGTCGGTATTGCTTCCATGATTGTTCCTGTCTATGTTAGTGAATTGTCTCCTAAATACATGAGAGGACGACTTAACACTTTAAACACACTTGTGTTAACATTTGGCCAAGTTGTTGCTTATGTCATGAACATTGCATTTGCTTCTGTTCCTAATGGCTGGCGTTACATGTTTGGTATTGCTGGTATTCCAGCTCTCTTTCAATTCATCATCATGCCTTTCTTGCCTGAATCTCCTCGTCGCTTGGTAGCTATTGGCAAAATGGAAGAAGCCAAGCGTGCTATTCGTAAAGTCTATGGTAATTCTGTCACTGATGTCTTTATTGAACGCGAAGTAAAAATGATTGATAATGATATCCATACCTGTCGCTCTGGCTCATTTCGTGATTTCGTACACAGGGACAACTTTATGCCTTTGATTATTGCCTGTATTTTGCAAGCCGCACAACAACTCTCAGGTTTTAATGCAGCCATGTATTATGCAGCTACTATTCTTCAAATGGCTGGGTTTAGAAGCAACGAAGGATCTACAAGTGTGGCCATTATTGTTGCTGGAACAAACATGGTGTTTACTGCTGTAGCTATCTCTGTGATTGATAAAGTAGGACGTAGAAAAATGCTCTTGTTTACCATGATTGTCATGATTGCAGGTCTGATCGCGTTAGGTGCTACATTTGCTGCTCAGCAAGGATTTGTGACACAGCAATCTACATGCGCTGGATACATTACAAACTGTGCTCGCTGTGTCCTTGATGACCGATGTGGATGGTCTATCTCTCAAGATACATGTATAGCCAAGACGAGTAACAGTCTCGCTGACATTCTCAATACAGCATCAGGATGTCCTATTCAGCCTCGCGATAAAGCAATCACTGGTGTTCTGTTGACCTTTTTGATCGTTTATGTTGCCAGCTATGCTCTTGGTCTCGGCTATATCCCTTGGTTAGCTCAATCAGAAATGTTTCCTATGTCTATACGTGGTAAAGCCAATGGTGTTGCCACTGCCGTCAATTGGATCTGTAATTTGATCGTGTCTACTACTTTCTTATCCATGACTGAAGCTATGACTACAGCGGGCACTTTTTGGTTTTATGCTGGTATATCTATTGTGTTATGGGCTTTCTTGATTCGATTAATGCCTGAGGTAAGTAATACTTGTGTTCTGTAAAGTACTCATGTTTGTTATAGACATCTGGAAAGACGCTAGAAGAGATCCATGAATACTTCCTCAAAATTTAGATTTTAATGTGTATTTTTTGTTTGCTTGTTTGTTTTACTATCTTACTCTTTAATTTAATATAATTGTATTTGTTACTTGTAAAGGATCACTGACTAAAGTGCGTCCATCTGGAAATAAGTCCTCCATCAATCCGGCTGAGGAAGACGTAGAGAGGGTGTCGTTTCTATGAAGTAAACTAGGCAAAGAGCATACTTCTAACTTTTCATCTGTTGTTTCTCGAGTGATAATATCATCAGGACCAATCTCATGGGGAACAGACAAAATCGTCACCATATTCTTCCTAGGCGGAAGTTTAGGAGGAAGATCAGATAGAGAGACGAGTAAAGAGGATTGTCTCTTTTGACTTGGTTTTTTAGCTACATAGCTATCCATTAGCTCATTTTGTTCTTTTACAGAGGGTAAAGGATCCGTAGGTGACAGTGATTCTTTTCTTGTTAATGCTTCGGGTATATAGTCATCGAATGCTTGTTGATAAGCAGAGGAAGCTAATGAGATTGGTGTTGAAGATGTTGTGTAAGCTGAAGCTGAAGAGGAAAATGAAGAGTTGTTTGACAAGAGATAGGATCGTGGTGATTTAAGTAATTGGTTCTCGCTCAGCCTTGCCAATGGCTTAAGCTCAGGTGAAGAAATAGGACTAAACCTTGTTGATGGCAAACTCGTTGCTGATTGATTGAACTCTTCTTTTATACCTGGTTCACAACCTAAGAAAGAAAAAATAAGTTTTGATATTAATGAACACCTTGTTTCTTACTTGTTTTTGGCGATGTTGTTTGTAATGAAACTCGAGAGAAATCTGTTTTGTAATTAATAAGAAAAAAATTCAATTATCTTTTTGAACTTACTTTCAAATGTCTGTGTAGTGGTTTTGGGAGCTATAGTCGACTCTCCTCCAATAGTTCCTACGACAATTGCTATTTCTTGCGAATAAGTAGGCTTTAGTTCTATAGGTGTTTTGACATTCTTCATATTCAGCTCTGCCTGAATCATGTATGATATGCTCAAAATACGTCCATTGTTGGGAAAGACATTAGGTGGTGTATTGTGAGGTATTTTTAGGTTGACTAGTTGTGTCAAAATACTTGATTCGCTAACAATATTAAGATCGATGGTCTTGGTTGAAAGTATTTTGCTGTCAGCAATTCTATATGGGGTAAGGAAATTGTTTTTGTTCGCGCATTGACTTACTTGGCTGTACTTGTCTTGTGGATTTGTCTTATCAAAGATAATTGCACAGCCTTGGGCTTATCCATCAAAGGGAAATTGTTGAAATTGCACTCTATTCTAATTTTGTCGCCTATAAAACGTGGAGGATGAATTTATATAGTAAAAAGAAAAAAAATGGTAATAAGAATACTTTACCTGGACTGTAAGCAGATTTCAGAATCGAGAGGCTCCAATTTGTTAACTTGCTACTATTTACAAACCCCAAATCATTCATCATCTTGATAGGTAAAGCATATTCTGGCAAAGCAATGTCAATCCTATCCAAAATTTGAACATCTTCTATGATAGTCGACAGTGAATGCGATAGCTTGAACTTTGGCTTTTTGTGGCTCGCTGTTAAAAAATAGCTCACTTTGGCTATTTTAGGGATCTGAGATACACAAATTAGCTGCATGTTACAATAGTAGGAGGGGGGGGGTTTCTTACACAATCAAAAGAGCTTGGCAGTTGTTTGGGCACACTAAATTGAAAACTAAAGGCATGTAATTGTCCTGTAGTGAATGTAGTGTATTTTTGGTCTCCTTTTGGCTTGGCCAAGAGCTCTGTCTCGTTTATGATTGTGTTTTTGTCTCCGCATCCTTCAATGATGCCTTGGAAATTGACTGATATATGCAAGACATCCACTGGTTTTTTCAGATCAAGTATAACTTGCCCTTCGCAATAACAAGATATCAATAAATATCACTACTTTGCGATGCTACCTTTTATAATATCGCTAGGAAAGTAGACTCTTTGCTCTTCTAATTGTATCTTAAATTCTTTTTTTGCTGCCATTGATCCTAAAAAGACTTGCGGGGAAAGTTTATCGTTGCTGGTTGACTTTTTCTTTCTTTTTTGCCTGATCTCAGTTAATTATCGAATCTTTCATAAAGTAGCACATACTTTGGTTTCTGTTAAAAAAGAAAAAGAATAGGTTACTGAAAAGAGATGAAAAGAAAAAGTAAATGCTTATGCATGTTTATTTATAGCAAGAAAAAATATTATTGTTACATGACTGTTACTCAAGAAAAATGGCAGTGACTTGTCTTTTGAATCTAATTGTTTGAAGACATGCACTCTTTGCACTCCACTCTTTGTCTTCTGGTGAAATATAATATTTTATCAAATACCGCATCTAGGATGATACTAGTAATTATGTTTGCTCTAGTATCTAGCCCATTTTTACTTTGACAACAGAACAATAAAGCCAGTGTATCTAAACAAATGTGAAAGTAACCTTCTTTCTGCTTGGTCAAGTTTCTAGAATAAAGAACATTGTTTAGTGGTACCTGAAATCATAGCCCCAGTGACTCTTATCGAACTCTCCGATCCGGACCTATTTCGGTCAACGCAAGTCAAAAAAAAAAAAGCATTTTTTCTTTTTCTTTTCCATACACGCACAGCAGATACACGCATATTCCATGAATCCTTATATAAACCAAGGTAACCCAACCAATGCTTATCTTCAGAATACATATGGACAACAGCAAAACTTTATGGCCAATTTGCCACAGGAATTTATGGGCAATTATACACCTCAAAAATTAGACGGTACTATCCCAAGTCCTCAACAACAACAACAACAACAACAACAACAACAACAACAACAGCAAGGTGTATTTGATCCACAAACAAACGCTGCTATTATGGCAAATATGATTGCAAAAAGGCAGTTATATGGACAACAACAGCCTCAACAAGCGTTTAATGCATCGACTAGTCCTTCGATGATTGGTTCACCAGCAATGACATCAGTTGGAATGCAAAGTCCTCAACAGCAGAGACAGAGTCCTATGATGAACACGCCTCAACAGCAACCACAAATTATGGGTCAGCTGCCATTTAACAATATGCAGCAACAACAGTGGGCTAATAAGCAACAGCAACAGATGGCCATGCAAAGAATGGATGAACAACAGCGTCAACAGTTCATGATGTTACAACAGCAACAGCTCTTGCGTAAACAACAACAACAACAACAACAACAACAACAACAACAACATCAACATCATCAACAACAACATCAACAACAGCAGCAGCAACAGCAGCAGCAACAGCAACAGCAACAACAACAACAAGACTTGCAGTCTCAAGCGCAACAACAGTCAGTGCAGACACCCACCAGTGTATCAATGTCACCAATAACCACCAATGAACCAAATGTCGCGTCTGCTGAAGTCAAATCACCACAATCACCCACAATAGCTGCAAATGATACCGAAATAAACTCCAAGAGAGTAGAGGCTATTTTAACATTGAATACCGAGTTGATTCGTTTATGTATCGAAAACCAACGTCTTGGGACAAGTTTAGAGCCAAATATAGCATTGTAAGCATATTTTACATGTCCTCCCAAACAGTGGCTTATTCTTTACGTGTAGATACCAAGCCAAATTGCAATCCAATCTCACTTATTTAGCAACAATGGCTGATATTTCCATGGTTAAACCAGGAGAGGTAAAGTGACATACACTGGGACCCTATTGACAAAACACAGGACTATAAGGCACCTTCTCCTCCAGATCTTTCTCCTTTACCACCACCAAAGTCAGATATTGGAAAAAAAATACACGAATTGTTTAATATAGCTCAAGGTCTATTTGATACCCAGGCTGATAAACAGAATGATTCACCTTTCCTAAATACTTCTCAACCATTACAACAGGTCTCGCAAAGCAATTCACCCATTACACCAAATCAAAGAAGCAACAGTATTGCATCACAATTCCAACAACAACAACAACAACAACAACAACAACAACAACAACAACAACAACAACAACAACAACAACAACAGCAGCAGCAGCAGCAGCAGCAGCAGCAGCAGCAACAACAACAACAACAACAGCAGCAACAACAATTGCAACAGCAACAACAATTGCAACAGCAGCAACTACTTCGCCAACAAGCAGCAGCCATGCGTCAACAACAACAACAACAATTCTTGAATAATGCAAACAAATCCACCAATGGAAATAATAGCAATATGAGTAGTCCTACTGCGACTACACCCACATCTACTGTTGGTAACAAAACACCAAACATGATAATAGATCAGCAAGCATTGCTTAGACAAGCACAACATGCACAAAACATGATGCAACAACAACAACAGCAAATGAGACAACAGCAGTTAATGGCAAACATGGGACTTGGTACCATGTCTTCAACTGCTACTTCTTCTGCTGTAATGAACAATGGTTTTAGTCCCATTCAACAAAATATAGATGGCTCACCCAGCATGACTTCACCGCCTCAACAACAGCAAATTAGTCCAAATGATTTCTTGGCTGCAAATGGCATGATTAATCCTAATGCAATGATGATGAATCCTAATGCATTAATGCTCAATAACACAATGAATCCTACCATGTTTAACCCTGTACAATCAACAACAATGGTCAATGATGATCCCAACAACTATAACAATGTTTTTATGATGATGCAGAGACTTCAACAACAACAACAACAACAACAGCCATAGCTGTTTCGATCTCTGAAATCTTTATAATTAAAATTCCGCATAACACAGCAAAAACTTGCCGTATTGTGACGATAAAAAACAAAGTCACTTTTTTTTTTTTATGAATTGAAATATTTTTTTTTGTGTTGATATACACTTTCTTTTCAACCACCCTACACATAGTATGAAGTTTAATACGGTTGAACGAGAAAACTTGTTCCGTAATCCTTCGGACGAGAAATTCGGAACGCCTTCTTTACAAGAAGTTGTAGCACCTCATATCGACGCCTTTAACAGTATTTCCGAGTTTGGCAGTGAAGGTCAACCTGGCTTATTAGACTATGCTGTCAAAGACATTGGAAGCTTTTCTGTTTTTGATAATGCAGACAATGATATCAACTTAGATCCCACTGGCGTCACTCTCGGAAACAAGTTGACTTATTGGTTGGAAGACGTCAAATTATTACAGCCTATGGTCAGTGAACGTGACACCACCACATTAAAGCGTAGAATCTACCCTTCTGAATGTCGTGAACGCTTGACTACATACCGTGGTAAACTCCAAGGTAAACTTTGCTGGAGAGTCAACAATGGTCCTATTCAAAGCGATATGCGTGATCTCGGCCTTGTCCCCATCATGGTCCGATCTAACCGTTGTAACCTTGCTGGCATGTATCCCAAACAATTGATTGCTCACCATGAAGAGTCTGAAGAAATGGGTGGTTACTTTGTTGTAAACGGTATTGAAAAGTTGATTCGTTTGTTGATTGTGCCTCGTCGTAACCATGTCACTGCTATCATCCGTAACTCTTTCCAGAACCGTGGTCCTACATATACTACCTTTGGTTGTTCTATTCGTTGTGCTCGTCGTGATCAAACTACTTTGACCAACACAATCCATTATTTAAAGGACGGCAATGTCATGTTCCGTTTTGCTTGGCGTAAGCAAGAATATCTTTTGCCTGCTATGTTGGTCTTCAATGCCCTTGTAGACACTTCTGACAAGGAAATCTTTGAAGCTCTTTGTCAAGGTGATCGTCAAAACACATTTTTGACTGACCGTATTGAATTATTGTTGAGATCCTTCAAGATTTACAACCTTTACACTCGCGATCAATGCTTGAGTTATATTGGTGAGAAATTCAGAGTCACTATGGGCCTTGATGATGATTTGACAGACAAGGAAATTGGTCAAGAACTTTTGAAGAAGCTTGTCTTTGTTCATATGGATGATAACCGTGACAAATTCAATTTATTGGCCTTTATGATCCGTAAACTCTATTCACTTGTCTCTGGTGAATGTGGTGCTGATAACCCAGATGCTCCTCAACATCAGGAAGTTCTTTTGGGTGGTCATCTTTACACTATGATTATGAAGGAAAAGATTCATGACTGGCTTACTGGAATCAAAATGCAAATTCGTAATGATGTTCGATTGAACCCTGCTCGCGTTGATTTCTTCAATAGTAAGTTGGCAAATACACATACGCTTTGATCTGATACACATTATCCTCTTAGACACTTATTTCCAGAATGCTTACCGTAAGGTCAATAGTGATATTGGTGTTAAAATGGCATATTTTTTGGCTACTGGTAATCTTGTCAGTAAGACAGGTTTGGATCTTCAACAATTCTCTGGTTTCACTATTGTTGCTGAAAAGCTTAACTTTTTCCGTTATTTGGCTCACTTCCGTTGTATTCATCGTGGTGCTTTCTTTGCTGAATTAAAGACAACCTCTGTTCGTAAATTGCTTCCTGAAGCATGGGGTTTCCTTTGTCCTGTGCATACACCTGATGGTTCTCCATGTGGTCTTTTGAACCACTTGGCTCATAAATGTAAAGTGATCAATCAACCTCTCGATACAGCCACTATTCCTCGTTTATTGGCTGCTCTTGGTATCTCTCAAAGTTTCCTTCATACTATCAACCGTCCTGGGGATGTTGTTGTCATGTTAGATGGTAAGATCATTGGCTGGTGTACTCCTGCCACTGCTGCTAAGGCTGCTGAAAGTTTAAAGGTGTGGAGAGTCAATGGTGAAAAGGGTATTCCTTTAGACCTGGAAATTGCCAATGTCCCCAACTCTTATGGTGGTGAATATCCTGGGCTTTACTTGTTCTCTAGCCCTGCTCGTATGATGCGTCCTGTCAAATACCTCGGTAATGGCAAGACAGACATGATTGGTACTTTTGAACAAGTTTATATGGATATTGCCTGTATGGACGACGAAGTTGTTCCTGGTGTTACTACTCATCAAGAATTCACTCCCACCAATATCCTCAGTATCATTGCTAACCAAACTCCCTTCTCTGACTTTAACCAATCTCCTCGTAACATGTACCAATGTCAAATGGGTAAACAAACTATGGGTACTCCCTCTACTGTCTTCAACCATCGTACAGATAACAAGATGTACCGTATTCAAAACGGTCAAACACCTGTTGTCAGAACACAACTCTATAACCACTATGGTTTGGATGGCTGGCCACAAGGTAACAATGCCATTGTTGCTGTCATTTCTTACACTGGTTATGATATGGAAGACGCCATGATTTTGAACAAGTCTGCTCATGACCGTGGTTTTGGTTATGGTACTGTCTACAAGTCTGAAACTGTTGACCTTAACGAATACCGTGCTCGTGGTGAACCCATTACTTACCGCTTTGGCCTTGACCCTGTCAAGGGTAAGAAATACCGTAGCAAGATTGGTGATGACGGTCTTCCTCATATTGGTGCACACCTTGTTGCTGATGATCCTCTTTGTTCTTACATTGATGAATCTACTGGCAAGAACGTTATCAAGAAATACAAGGGTCCTGAAGATGCCTATGTTGATGAAGTCCGTATTTTGGGTGATGACTCAGGTAATGGTGAACTTCAAAAGATTCATATCAAGCTTCGTATCACTCGTTCTCCTGTCATTGGTGATAAGTTCAGTTCTCGTCACGGTCAAAAGGGTGTCTGTTCTCAAAAATACCCTGCTATTGATATGCCTTTCACAGAATCTGGTATGCAACCTGATGTTATCATCAACCCTCATGCTTTCCCTTCCCGTATGACTATTGGTATGTTTGTTGAAAGTATTGCTGGTAAGGCAGGTGCTCTTCACGGTATTGCTCAAGACAGTACTCCCTTCAAATTCAATGAACAAAACACTGCTGCTGACTACTTTGGTGAACAACTATTAAAGGCAGGTTATAACTATCATGGTAATGAAGCCATGTATTCTGGTATTACTGGTGAAGAAATGAAGATGGATATCTACATTGGTGTAAGTATAATGATAGCAATATGTTTACGGTATGCCTGACGTTTGTTTGTTAGGTTGTTTACTATCAACGTCTTAGACACATGGTGAATGATAAGTTCCAAGTGCGTACAACAGGTCCTGTGCATAACCTTACTATGCAACCTGTCAAGGGTCGTAAGAGACATGGTGGTATTCGTTTCGGTGAAATGGAACGTGATTCATTGCTTGCTCACGGTACAAGTTATCTTCTTCAAGATCGTTTGATGAATTGTTCAGATTACTCTCAAGCTTATGTCTGTCGTCTCTGTGGTTCATTAGCATCACCTATCTGTACAAAGATTGTCTCTTCTTTGGGTAATCGTCGTACATACGAGTGTAAGACTTGTGGTACAGCCAAGGGTATCGATTTGATTGCTATTCCTTATGTGTTTAGATATCTTACAACTGAATTAATGAGTATGGGTATCAAGTTGAACTTGGGCATTAAGCCTTAATTCACTTTATTTTATTCCATTTTGCTTATATTATCATATTACAATCACGCTCACCCATATATATAATCCCCCACTACCACTCTTTTTTTTCTTTAGATTTCATTTTACACTATTTTCTCTCACATATACAATTTCTTTTTTCTGTAAAAAAAAGAAGAAAAAAGAAGGAAAAACTTGACTACTACTGTACAATAAATGCATACAAAAAATACATTTTTTTTCTCTCTCCTGGAGTGACAAGAAACAAGGAAAATTATTTCTGATATGACCAAACATCTTCTTATTGAATCTACAAACAAACAGATAGTTTGTTTACAAATGTTGTTTTTTACAATGCGTTTGAATATAAAGCAAGGAACCTATTCTCTTTCTTTTTTTTTATCCTTTCTTTGCGATTATGTTAAAACCATTTGTGATTTTATTATCAATATTACTCGTTCAGGCACAATCAGAAACAACTGACAGTCCTTACAAAATTGATTCAGCAGACTATGTGCAAGCATCGCCTGCTTGGCTCTCTCACATTGAATTACCCAAGAATGTAGTCCGAGGCTATCCTAAAGAAGAAGAAGTCTTTCCAGCCCCTTTGCCCAAAAAACGCTTCAACATTGACTTGAGTTCATATCCAGACCTGTTAAAACAACCACCCGTTGATCACCCAGAGGTTCAGGCAGTGATCAACCAACTTGATTTCACAAAGATTCCTGCTAGTGAGCCTCGTAAAATAAAAGAATGGGCTGTTGATATCTCCACTTACGATGCTAAGAAGGATCCTGATTGTTGGTGGTCTGCTTCAAACTGTAAAAAGCCAAAGGTTAGCTATATTCCTGAAGATATATACATGTGTCCTCAAAAGGGCCATTGGGGCTTAAATTATGATGACGGTCCATATACTTACTGGTGGCCTGTAAACGAGAAAGACAAAGAATACGATCAGCCTCGATTTTATAATTATTTGATAGAGCACAAAAGACAAAAAGCAACTCTTTTCTGTAAGTAGAATTTATGTAGATTAAGCTTGTATTCATGTTCTTTATAGTTGTTGGATCAAATGTAGTCAAGTTCCCTGATGCAGCGCAAAGAGCACTGAATGACGGCCATACGATATGTTTGCACACATGGTCTCACCCTCAAATGACGACCTTGACAAGTGAAGAAGTAGTCGCTCAACTGTATTGGACACAAAAGGCTATTAAAGAAGTACTCGGTATTACTCCCAAGTGTTGGCGTGCCCCTATGGTGATGTAGATGATAGAGTGAGAGCTATTGCTTGGCAAATGGGTATGCGAACTATTCTTTGGGATCAAGATTCATTTGATTGGAATCTGGTAATATTCATAAATAATGGTCTATGATTACTAACTATGACTCAATAGTATGTTCAGCCAGGCAAAGGTCATCTTAAAGCAGAAGAGATCGATAGCTATTTTGAAAACTGGATCCAAAAGCGTATTAGCAATAATGATACAGAGCATGGACATATTACTTTGGTATGTACAATCTTTATTTTATTAAAAAAGCTAACATTTATGATAGCAACATGAAAACAGTAATGCAACTATTAGTATGTCTGAGAGATGGCTTCCCAAGATACAAGAACACTTTACCGTCCTGCCTATTCATCATTGCATTGACGATTCTCAGCCATATTGGGAAGAACAATGGGTCTATCCTACACTTAAGGATCCTAATCCTCCTACGTTCAGTTTGGGTCATGGAAGAAATGCAATCAACGACGAGGTTGTTTCTTCTTCAGCACCTTTTGTGAGCCCATATAGATGTATTAGTCTTGCTATCATAGCCTTTGTTATATCTTACTTGTCTTAGCTATTTGTTTGCTTTTTTAATAATATGAAACTGGAAAATACAAACAATACACAAACATTGACGCATCTAAATTAAGTGGAAAAAATCTTCATTATTTATTTATTTTTTAAAAGAAAATAGCAACATATTCCGTTAGATACGATGTCTATAAACCTCATCAATTGATCAGGCTTTTTTTTTTTTTTTTTTTTTTGTTATTCTGTCAAAGTCTTGATGCGAGACTGAATCAATTGAGGTGACTCTTCTAAAGCCAACATCATGCCCATATACATGTGTGGCGTATTATGGCAATGCATGGCCCAAATTCCTGGATTATTCTATATTTAGGTTTTAGTCAGTTTAATAAATCACAAGTTTTATACTTGCAGCAATGATTCTTAGTTTACTCCAGCCGCAGCCAATGACTTTTTGATCTTTTGTTCTATATTCGGTTTCATCCGCTGTAGGGTACACCAGGGTCAAGTCCTTGAAAATTGGGTAGCGTATATTTCGAGTGCGCCCATCTCTTTCTTCAACATATTCACCTTGACCATGCGCAATTTCCCAATGTGAGTGACCATGCGTGTGCCATGGATGACTACGACATGGCTTGTCGACAGGATGGGTTGTTTGTACAACGATGTCTATAATTTCCAAATGTTCTAATGGATAGGTGCCTAAATGAAAATCAAACCCATTTTGGTCTCTGTTCTTGATATCAGGTAAAGGTCTTGTTTTTTTAAGTATGTCGTGCAAAATAACTTGATCTTCTCTTTCTACAAAGGAAACATCATTAATATACCATCTTGTTTTGCCTTTGGTTTCTTTTTCTGAACTTCGTAAAATAATTGTTCTGTTGGGCTTTAAGTTTACGATAGGATCCACACCATAGTAAGGATGAAGCTTGTCCCAATACCAATGAATTGTGTTGTTTGCTGGAAATGTAGGCTGATATAAAGCAGGAGATAAAGCTCTTGTGCCAATACTATTTCCTGTTGAGAAATCATATTCCCAAGGGACAAAAGAAGATGCGTTTGTTTGGTAGCGCATGATAGTATGCCCATTTGTAGAGGAAGGTACTCCTACAGCCCATCTACGCACGATACTGATACCATAGTCTTTTGGGGTCTAGTTGTATCGACCAAAACCGAGAATCGTTGACCAGGGGATACTTCTAAATAGTCTACATCATAAGGTTTTATATAATCACCATCTACTTCGATCACTGTCATTGTATGGTTAGCAATACCAAAGCCCAAGGTACGAAAGACAGTAGCACCTATAACTCGAAAGCGATAGATTTTTCCTGGCTCTACCGGCAAGATAGTGTATCCTTTGCATTCAGCAACAAGGTCTATATTTGGATCATAAATGCCTTGACCATTTATCAAAATAGAATGGGCTTCAGTTATTTCGGTAAAATTAGAACCTAGATAATAAGCCTCAGATTGACCACGATCTGCATGCCACCATTCACTCAGCATTACTGTGTGCTCACCATGATATGAAAAAGGACCATCTTTGAGAATACGGTACTTGCTGGGATCAGATCTTCTGGACTTGTAGATAATGATAGGACCAAAGATACTCATTTCTTGCATACCAACATGAGCATGATAGAAGAATGTACCTACTTGATCAGGCACATCAAATTCATATAGAAAAGAACAACCGGGAGGAATTATATGCTGGGTCAAGTAAGGAACGCCATCCGCCTGAACAGAATTGATTTGACGAATACCATGGAAATGAACAGTGACACCCATTCCAGCACCTCGATGTGTTGTCGAATGCGAAATAATGTTATTGCGAACCAAGATCTTGACTCGATCACCTTGATAAAGATGTATAGCTTCACCGGGAAGTTGATCATTGATCATCAATACAGAAGAATCATGATCTGAACAATCGGGGTTATATCTGACGCTTGTAACATTAAATTCATAGAATTGAAGCCGTGCTTTTACACAATTTAAATGTAGCAAAAGACTATATAAAGCTAGAATTACAATTATGCAGTGCATAAGAAAGAGAGAAAGAGTGTTACAAATGGCCTTTATAATACATTTGCCTCACTATTTATACATGTTCCTAGCTATTTTTATAACCAATTTCATCTGAGCTTGTTTTTTGTTAAATTGCTTTAGTTGTCAATCGCTTGTCTTGAACAAGCTACGGCTAAATTCTTCTGCCGCACAAATCGGAACTTTAAGAAACAAGACAAAGCCTGAGAAAGTTCTTTTTCTTTTTTTTCCCCTCTCTTTTTCATTTTCTTTATTTGTTTGTTTGCATATAATATGGCAGGAAATGTCATTGGGACTTCTTCTTACTCAGAAGCTATGGACTTGTCCGACTTGGACGAAAGTGGCTACGACCAGTCTTCTGTGATATCGTTTGACGGGAACAATATGTCAAACTACCACTCACCAAACGACACCTTCCAACAACAAGAACAACAACAACAACAACAACAACAACAGCAGCATCAGCAGCAGCATCAGCAACAATCTACACTGGATCCTCCTATCAAAATTAGAAAAAAGCCAGGAAGAAAACCAAATCCTGCCTCTCCTGCTTTACGAAAAGCACAAAACAGAGCTGCACAAAGAGCTTTTCGAGAACGTAAAGAAAAACATATGAAAGAACTCGAATCTAGCATTAAAGGTATAAAAGAACAACGCGACAAACTACTTCAAGACAATGAAAAGACGACAAATGAAAATGAGATATTAAAGGCCGAAAATTGGTATTTAAAGGGTATTGTGCTGTCATTACAGTTGGTTTGTCTACAGCACAATTTAGTGATACCTCAACATGGGCCACATGTAAACGAGCAGACATTATCTGTCTTGGCACAGTCGATTCCCGAGTCGATTTCTTCATATTTAAACGTGAACGCCAAAGGAAAGCTGCAAGTTTCTTCAAAAATATTAAATGAAACCCCAGATTTTCAGCAAAAACAGTCTCCACAAGGATCACCAAATCTTTCACACCCACTCTTTTCTCAACCACTGCCTTCAGGCTCGTTAATTATTACACAAGACGGTGTTCATCCTGTACAAGAGAAACGTGGTAGTGCTACCTCAACTAATAGTAATAATCATTACAATAACCTTCCAAGCAACAACTGGTACCACCAATCCAGCCAACATTCTGCATCAAGTAGGAATGAATCACCCAGTGTTTGTTCTCAAGATGAAAGTTTCAGCAATATACCACCCCTCTCACCAATGTCAACCTCAGACCGAGAAAAAGCAGGATTATTATCACCAATGAGCATGCCTAATTTGCCTCGACCAATGTCATTAAATGAACCCGTTGCCTCTAATTTAGCGGCTATTCAAGCGCTACGCTTGCGTCTGAGACTCCAATCAGCCTGTGTGAGTATGCAGTCAGCACCTTTTGCTATTCAACCAACATTGTTACAGGTACTTAGGAAAATTTTTTCTTTATTTAAATTAATTAAACAATATATTTTTAGCTTGCAGTCCCACATGATCCCCGGATTGATTTAATCCCCACCCCACATATGCGTGACAGAATGATTTTATATCGAGATCAGTTTGATTTAGACGATTGTTTCCGTTGCTTATTGGGTGGCTCAGTATTTCATGGAGGTGATCCCGGAGTTGCTGGTAACTGGCAGCTGCCAGCTGAGTTCTTTGAAAAATTCTGGTTTTTGACAATTGACTACAACTTGAGAAGATGCACCAATGAATGGAGAAAAAAACAAGGCCTAAAGGAAATTAAATCAAGTATACCTAGTTTAAATGAAAGTGAGAAAAATTCTCGGACGTCTAAAAAAGCATCTTATCCAGCATCTACACCTTCACCTGACCATTCGCATTCTCAGCACTCAAGACATTCTACTATGAATATTAAACCAGAACTTAGTTATGAAGAACTACAAGGTTATCTAGGTGTACAAATAGGCAATGGGAATAAACCACATCAACAACAGCATCAACAACAGCATCAACAACAGCAACAACCAATGCATCAGAATATAACACCTATTCAACTTACGAATGGTTATGGGATAGTAGGCAATCCTTCTTCAAGTAATTTCTCAGATCTTAGAAAACCAATTTCTGTCCCTAGTCATATTGCACTAAGCCATCATCACCATCAACAACAACAGCAACAATCATCTTGGACAAACCTAATGATGGAACCAAGAGACTATGGTAAGTTCTTTTAATTGTTGTCAAATGAATATTCATTTTCTTTTATTAGATATGATGATGAGTGGTCTTTACAACAATAATCGACATCGTAATTAATATGATCATACCCTTTAGAAAAAAAAGAAATAGAAAACGCTTTTTTTTTATAATACAAATAATAATAATAGTAATGAAAAAGGGGAAGGAGAGGTGTATGTATGTGTATGTATAGATTAATAAATAGGATGTACATTTATTCCCAATCAAAGGAAGTTGGTTCGTCTTGAAGTCTAGAGACAAGCTCATGTTCTTGTTCGACTTCATGTCTTCTCATTTCTGGGATGAGACGGTCTTCAAGTGCCAATTCATAAACTTGGTTGTATTCATGAACAGGGCCTTTGAAATGGCCACGATCCCAACCGAGGTTTAATGCACTACGAATCATTCTCAAAATGAATTCTTCATGGTATGCCTTATTCTTGTAGAACTTTTCATAGTCCTTGGCTGCATCTTGAATAGCAGATCGTAGAGAGACTAAGTCTTGATGAGTGTATTTGTAACTGTTATAATATTCGTAACTGGTTACTACAGCGCCTTTTTCGGTTAGAACTTCAGGGTCCAGTAACGCAATACTGACTCTTCTTGATCCCGCCTGATTCAAAGGACGATCAATAAGTGCCTCACGGAGATTTCCACCACCAGCAGTAATAACAGCAGAACCAAACACCATGCCTTCAGCTGTGTCCAATCCTTCGTGGTCATTAGGATTAGGAGAGAATACAAAGTCAGCAGCAGCTCGACAAAAGATGCCTAATTGACGTTGTTGTTTAGGTGTATAAATAAGTGAAACATGGTTAGGATAGAGTTGAACTAATTCTTCTAATCTTTCGATTGGATAGGTGTGCTTATTGCCCATAATGACTAATCTCATGTTGTTGATGGCAAAAAATTTGGCTGCTTCTTCAACTGCTTCAATACCAGTATTGTTCTCCAAATGGTTTCTAAATAAGACAACAGGACGCTTCAAGTCCTCTTCTGTGAAAAGACTACGTCTGATCAAATAACGCTTAGCACGGTCTTTGTACATGAAAATGAAGTCATTGGGGTCTTCAGAAAGGGTCCAATAAGTGGGTGTATCAGGAACTTGGAGCGCTAATGGATACAAAGGCTTTGTAGAGTGAATGAGTTCTTGATCTTTGATCATCTGAAGACCATATTGAGGAAAGCCCATGTTGCGAGACATCAACTTGTCAGTGATAAAGGGATGCTCAGTGTTGTGATAGTCAACGGCACTGTTGATACCATATAGACGAGATCCTTCTACTTTCTTCAACAGGTCGTCCATAACGAGTTCTTTCATATGGAAATCATGACGACCTTCAACAATGTCTGCAGCTGTAGAGCGACTTGTAAATGTGACAGCATCGGCACGTTCGATAGCAAGCTTTGACATGTACATTTTGCCACCATAAACATATTTACGAACTTGCTCTCTATCGTTTATATGGTCCAAGAACTTTCTGACATTACGAAAACTGTTGGTGTATTGGATCTCATCTTGATGATTGTAAACAGAGTAAACAATAGCAGGAGGACGAGGGCCCAAATCATCAGCATCTTTCTTGTCCTGCAATAATTTGGCCACATAAGCATTAGAAGCACCATGGATGTGAACAATATCAACACGCGGAACAATACGAATAGGAGCAAATATCGACTCTTCATCAGAGGCAGTGGCCTTATGAGCCAAAAATGCAGCAGCTGCCTTGGCAAAGTACTGGTCTCTCCATTCATTAGGCAGCTCATTTTCTACATTGATATCATTAGGCGTGCGGCACTCAAAAGCTTGATTAAAAGGCTTTCGGTTGGCGTGACTGATCATATAAACAGGAACAGCATCTGTGGGAGCTGGAGGACGCTGAGGAGTGAGAAGTACTGATGTATTGACATTGTTGATCATTTTCCATTCATAGACACTTGGTGCTTGCACAGGCGGATTGAAAGCATAGAGTGTTTTCCAAACTCGAAATTCAACTGTCATTATTTGACCTGGTTTTTTGCCACGAATGTCCATCACCATATCAATTTCCCTACCTCGAACTGTTCTTTTCATGAATGAATAAAAGGGCATGACAATGGCGACCTCGGTAAGGTTAGAAGCCTGTTGAGCTGCTGCCAATGCTGTGACAGTTTTACCAAGTTCTGAGATGGCAGCAGGTCCGAATTCTTTTGTAACATGATATACTCGAGTACCTTTTTCAATTTGAGTTGACATGCTTGTATCTAAATGTGTGTATGTCTTGAAAGGGTATTGTCTTTTTACTAAATGAGAACGAAAAGTTTAAGTACGAGTAAAATAATTGTTCAATATATTACCAAATCGAATAGAAGTAGATTCTTGGTTTAATGTATTGTAACTGGTAGAGAGAACAGCAATTTCTCCAATGATCAACAGTGTAATAAAGATAGATAAAAAGTTCCACCAGCGCCATTTCTTGTCTTGTTTAAATAGAGTGATTGGAGTGTGCTGCTGAACAGAAGAAGAAGCAAGAAAAGGTTCCATAAAAGACCCTGTTCTTCGAGCTGCCGAAGGTTTTGATGTGAATATTGTCGAATTCGGTGAATCTGGATTGCTGTTTGCTATCGCAGTGTGTGTTGAATTGATTTCTTGATCTATAGAAACAACTATCTGTGGTGACATGACAATGTTTAAAGGAATGAATAAGAAAAAAGGAAAAGAGAAAGAATAGATATAAGAAAAAAGAAGAGAAAGAGGGAAAAAGAATACCTAATTGCCTTTTAGAATATTGCGTTCACCTGTGTCTCGATCCTCATCAATTTGCTTTTTGGGATATAAAAATCAAACACCTTATTTTCTCTTAAAACGGAGTTTAAAAATGATCCCAAAAGTTATTAGATTTGCGCTTATGTGACTCAAAGTCTATTAATGTTGATTACAAGATGATTACATTGCCTCAATGGCGTCTTGGTGTTACTATCAATATACAATTGTTTAGTAGTACGACAAAGTAACAGAACAACAAATCCCATCGTGACTGGATTGAATACACAGGATTAAAATGATACTGTCCTTTTTTTTAATAAACAGTTTGCAAGAAGGAAAACGTAATTATTGTAACATACAACCAGCTATAACAGATTTACCAGTAAGTCAGGAAGACTGTTATGGCTCTCTCCGAATGAGAATTGTTCAGTTCTAAGTGTACACATGGTTATGGACTTTAGTAAATGATCTGCGCACAAACAAGAAGAAAAAACATGTTTGATAAACTTATAGAGCATCTTTCTTTTTTTGATACATCTTTGTTTATTATCGACTTTTTTTTTACTTTTGTTTTTTTAGTGCGATATGGCTGTCGTACAAAAATATTAAAAAAAAAACCAAATTTATAATAGTTCCATGTGCAAATATTCTAAATGTACAATCGCGTATAATTTAATGTCTAAGGTTTCATTTAAACAAATTTAGGCAAAATATCAAAAGGTTGAATGGGTGTTGTACTCTCGAGTTCAAGCGCATAAAACAGGCAGTCTTTTGCCTTGTAAACTCTGTCTGTGTTTTTGTAAACCTCACCAAGATAAAACCTGTTTTAAAAATAGTAAATTATTCCATATTTTGTCATATATTTATCTTACCATGCAGCTGGACAATTCCAGCCATTTTCTTTAGTCACAGCTTCTAGAAGGCCTTCGGCAACCTCTATATCGCCTCGATCCATGAAGGTCTTGGCTAGCCATACGCGGCAATTGACATCGTTTGGCTTCGTCACCAAACCTTTTTGAAAGGCCTTAGTGGCTCTGTCAGATTGATTTTGTGCGAGATAAATGCGTCCCAACAAGCACCACACACCCGCATGTGTTGTCCAGTCGACGTTTTCAGCTTCTGACACTGCTTTTAAAGCCTCATCAATCTTGCCTGTCTTGAGAAATGCTTCGGCTGACAATAACCATAAATCACATAACAAATGACATGAGCGTTGATGTTGTAGCCTTGCACAGGTAGTAGGACGAGTCAGAGTAGTTGTGTTTTGTAACAACGTATTGGCGCTCAGGACAGAAGGCGTTATGCTATGAATAGAGCTTATAGAATCATTATTCGTGATTGTCCCGCGTGTATCACCTAATTGGAAACAAAAAATAAGTTTAGCCAAGATTTCCTGTATAATTGAGAAAGAGAATACAAACCAGTCAATGGATCCTCGTCTTTCTTTTGCTTACGAATCAGGTTTTTAGGATCCAAAAGGCTGAGTCGGCTGGTATGTTTGATACCCGGCATGGGTACTGACCGAATACTGCCGACGTCTGACTTGTCATTAAACAGTTCAGCCAAATGAAGTTTTCGACCAGTGAATGAAGAGACCGATCGCGTACGACCATTTTTGGTCATAATGGTTGATGTCCTACTGGCACTGCTGGCACTGCGCCCACGTGTCGTCTTTTGCTCACTCCCTTGCTCACTCATATTACCCAGCGAACCAGACAACACCATTCCATAGCGTGTGTTTCCATTTGAGATGGCTTCATGGAGCATGTTGCTGGAGTCCGGAATGAGCTCCGGTACCACAATCTTACCAAACGTTTGAAATAAGCCCTCTTGAGATGTCAACGCAGCTTCTGCACCATGAATACGTTCTATTAATAGAGTTTGTGTCATTTGAAGCTTTATCTGTTGCTCAATGTCATCACCATAGTCTACCCAGCCATCTTCAGGTAGTTCTGAAGCCTGTAAAAGGCCCATTTCGCATGTCTTGAGTGCTTGTGCTTGACTGTTTTTGATAGGACAAGTACACAATAACGCAAGCAAATGCCAGGATGGTAAATGCTGAGGATTGTATTGAATAGACTGCGTAATCATTTGTATAGCCTGAATGATATCGCGCATTTCTGCAAGCTGGAGTGCAATCTGGTAATACGTTTCCCAACAGAGAGGGTCTAGTTCAAGTGATTGTTTAAGTGCGTTCAAGGCTCGCTTGTGGTATTTTGGTCGACTATCTTGATCAAAGGCTATACAATAGCAATTAGAATGATTGGAAATGACAGAACACTACATACTCTGAGTTGCTAAAAATCCCAAGGCAATACCCAAGATACGATATACCTGAGCTCCTAATATCTTCTGGCTATCATCAAATACATGCTTATAAACAAGCTCTGCTAGTTCAGCCACATAGACTGCTTCTGCGCCTTTTGATAATTCTTGACAATACATTTTTACAGCAGCAGCAATGACTGATATTTGATCCTTTACTGTTTCCACCTCCTTACTTCTCTCAGGGCCATCTGCTTTTAGGGCATGTTCAACCAATTTGAACTCTTCTTCTCGATTAGCCGTTGGAACAGGTGTACTGTAGCCAAATGAATCAGATGCTAATGCTGCTGTACTTGATCTTTCTTCTAAAAGTGCCTTTGATTCTAGCCCAATTAAATAGAGATAGGTACGAAGAGCATGCTCTGCTTCTTCATAATCACCCAATGAAATCAAAGCATGAAACAGATGCCTTGTTATGCAGGGAGAATTGAATGTCTTGAGAGATGCACGATTCAATGCTTCCAAATAGCCTCTCTTTTCTGTTTCTGAACCACCTACCAAGGCGAAATCTTCAGCTAACTTATTCACAAATCGAACTACAAGTGAACTGCTTTCTCCTGAGCGAGGAAATTGAACTATAGTATAAACAAGCTTCTCATAGACTGTATGAAGCTGAATGACTTCAATACTGAACAGTTGATGAATGTGCATTCTGTTTGCATCATCAAAGTCTTTTCTATGCAAACATGAGTGATCCCATAAGAATTTAAGTACTTTTACCTACTCATTGATTTGTTTTCCTTCTTCAGTCTGAGCAAAATCTATGGGTGGTCGATACTGTTCTGCACGATATTTTTCAGAAAGGTAGTTCAAGGAGTGAATTGTGATGGTCAATCGCTTATAGACACGCCAAGCAGCTGGTTGAGAAGAGGTTGCTTTTTGGTATGCTCGTACAAGTCCCATTGTCTTTGGTACATCTTCTGACTGATAACTATATATGTTATATATCGGATTAGTAAAAAGGATGTACAGCCATGTTACACAGAGCGCGTTCTTTACCTTAATGCAACTAGAGTTCCTCTATATAGACTTTCTTCTGCCCAATCCACGATACTGCGATCCGTTATATTTTCACATTGGCTTACTAAGGATGCTACTTGATTATAGGCTTCTAAAGATTCTTCTTTTCTCTCCATTAAATCCAGGGACATGGCTTCAGAAGTCTATCAATATCTTGATGAAGGATTGCTAACTTACCTCTTATAGCAAGAGCTTGTATGTACAATGCGAAGCTATAGCCTGGAGTCTCCAATGCTCTATAATCAGCATCTTCAATTGTATCAAAAGTCTTTTGATATTCTCCACTTTCAAAATAAGAGCGAGCGAGAATTACTCGAGTCATCTAATAATTTCAAATAAATATGGATAGCCTTCTCGAGTTTCGTACACGTTACTTGTTTAAATTGCTGAGTTTCTGAGCTAGAGTCTTTATCTCCCAGTGCTACTGCCAACTGCTGCTGAACTGGCTTGAATAATCCAGTATCAATTCGAGTGGATAAGGTAATAGAGTTGGGCGAGTCGTTTGCAAATATTTTTCTCGAGTCTTTTCGGTGTGTTTGTACTAGTTGGTTTAAATTGGCTTCAGCTAAGATACTTTGCTCGAGTACTTTTGTTCGTGTCAGTAACATACGTTAGACGAGTTTATTTACCAGTGCCATTTGGGTTATGCTTCCTGTATCGTCTAGCTAACTCAGGAATAGCTTCCCAGTTACCTTTGCACCGAGAAGTGTCTATCTCTTTTGCAATCGCAATCGCTTTAGCAGCAACCATCGTCAGTTGTATCTATTTGAGATTAGAAAAAGAGAGAAAGAGGGAAAACATACGGACTTTGTATTAAATTAATAAGAATGGAAAATCTATCTCTTAAGCTGATTTATTATTCAAAAGAAGCAAATGGGCATAATTTTTGTGTTTTTCTTTCCTTTTGTGCAGTTAATCAATATCCATCTCAGGAGCATTATTGCTTGGAGTAGGGCGATAATTGACAAGTCTAGCTTGAATACTCTTCATATTAGGCACACCGATTTCTGTCTATAACGCATGTGAATTCTCGAATATATCAAACTGACTTTACCTTTTCTTCATTTACAGTTACATTATTATTCGTGTGTGTAGCATTGCTATTGACCTCGAATTCACCTGATACATTGGGACATCTATAAAAACCACATCCCTTACATGAATTGTAAGCGAAACGAATTTAATTCCGCACTTACTTCTGCCCAAGAGGATCTACAAGCCCAACAAAAGCTGAAACCACAATAAGAACAGTCTACCTTATTACAACCTTCGTCGCGATTAATCATGATTGAACAATTTGGGCATCGTCGACTAGGTGTATTCTATTAATCGACTGGTCATAATACATGACATACCTATTCTTTAACTTCCAGCTTACAACATCTCTTGTGTCTTTGGGCAATGACTTGTTTGTAAGCATTTTTTTCATGTTGTCCTCACAGACAAGGTTATCATGAGCATCGTGTCCGCATTGCAAACAAACATTGGATTTACATTCAGGGCTATAAGAGAGAATAGTCAGCCATACCGTTCATCTTGACAACCTTATTTTAACAACACAGACCAGTTCATTTGAGGGAAAAAACTAATATGAGCAAACTGAATCTGTTTCCATACTTCAGGTCTGGAGCACACACTTGTAAATTGAAGTGAAATATTGTAAGCAAAGTTATATTGTTGATTATTGAGGATATGGTTCTTTTCAAAGGTCAAGATATCTTTCATCATGCGCTTGTAAAGTGTTGTTAAATTTGAATCAGACCAATCTTGTCGCTTATAAATAGGTATCCATCTTTTGACAGCAATATGCTCAGTATGGTTTTTGTGAACCTCTCCATCTGAGCATGAATGAAGCATATCTTCCATAATGTCACAGAATAGTCTATACAAACATATGAGCAAACAAAGCAGCAGTCATAGTTTAATTGACCTGAAGGGATATGAAGAGCTATTGTTACAGTTATAAGTACAGGGAATCATATCTGTTTCGCAGTGAGGGCATGCTCTTGTATAGCTACGATAAGGTTTGTTGAATTTGTCATAAATCTCAATGATCTTTCGAGGTACATATTGGCTCCATTCATGCTTTGGTATCAACTCTGTACAGACAGGACACCTGATAGGAGTCACACTCAAACCCCATGATGATTTTACGACTTCTATTATGTATCTAAAAATCAAATAAATAACAAAAGTTGTTACAGCAAGGTTTACTTTTGAAAGCACTCCAAGCAGTATTGATCTTTGCAGTATTCCAAGCAAAAATCAAGCTGGGCATCAAAGCATATGGAGCATCGATTCATAAAGTGCTCCATTTCATCTTGATCTGCATAGGAGCTGCTTGCTACGGATGAACCTTCTGTTTCATACATCGTGTGATAAAAAAAGAGCGAGAAAGAAAAAAAATATGGAAAAGGAGTGGAAAAAAATTAAATCAGCTTTTTATATAGAAAATACTGATGACCTTGTGACGATGATTGTTTATCTATAATAATGTATATACAGTCTCTATTTATTTTCTACTCAGATATTGACAGTATACTCTTTATAAAAAGTCTTCTTCTTTATGCTGTACTACTATTACATTAGTGTTTTTGTCGGGATTGTTCTTTACCGCATACATCGTAATTTGCTTCAGAATGTTATATATAGTATCATTTAGCTAATTGTTACAAGAATAGAACTAAGTATGAAAATCTTATTTGGATGTGTCTATTGACATTATCTTTGTCTAAAGAAAATTGTCATGATAAGCCAGATTAGGAAGGCATGCTGAAAAGTTTATGCAACATCCTTATTTGAGATACCGCTTGATTTTTTATTTTTTCATTGGCAATTCTTGATCTCGTATTGTTCGTAAACAACTTTTGAATAGACATGAAAACAAATAACGAAATAATTTAGAGCACTTATTATATAGAAATAATAAAGCAGTTTTGCTGTTTTAAAGTGATGAAAGGAATCTGGTATGAAACGAGAAATATAACTAATGTTTTTTTTTGAAGTCTGTAAGGCATAAGACTACATTACAAATTATTATCTTATGCTTTTCCTTCCATTTAATCTGAAAAAGAAGAAAGAGACTAGACTATACCCAATTTTTAAAAGCTCGTTCCTGAAATTATTGCCTAAATAAAGATATTACCATGGACAACCTAGTAACCTCGTTTCCTCTGCCTTTTTCAAGGATGAGAGCTTTGGGATTTCTTCTAAAAAAGCATGCTTATATCAGAATAAAATAAGAAGAAACTATAAGTTTAATTTACAGGCTAACACAAATAATCTCGATATGCTTCAAGTTGTTATTAACTGAGCATTATATGGAAACAGCAAAATGGACATTGTAGGACGAGTCAAACTGATATTTGCGGTAGTTAGTTTTCTTAAAACATGAAACTGAAATTGCCCTTAACGTCGAAAAATAATTGCCTGCTATAACCATCAATACAATTTGCTTACTTTAAAAGACTACCATTCTTAAGATACGCTGCGGAACAGATATAAACCAATCAATAAGGAGAACAAATTATGATAGATGAGATTGACCAATCAACATTATTCCTTTATCATTCTTTATTATCAAACCCTCGATTAATAATATAAAAAATTCTTCATTCCTTTTTTCTTTTAGTTTCTTTTTCTTTTCTCTCTTTTTTTCTCTTCACCTTACATTAAAAAAAAATGTCTTTCGATTCGCTTACTCAAGGAGATAATGTATTGTTTGTAGCACCTGCTACCGTTGACCAGAATATTTTTGTTCAAGTTAAGAATTCTGCACAAGAACAAGTTGGTCCTTCTGGCCAAACTGCTTTCGAAGTCTTTGATAGAGTATCTGAAGGTAAATCAGAAGTTATACAAACGGCATGTATTGATTCAAATATAATGTAGCTCCTTTGGCTAAATCAATCTATAACACTATTTACTCAAACTTATTTTCGCCTTCTGTTTCTATTCATTCACCTAGTGTTTTCTCCCGTTACTTGTCTACTTTAGCTGCTGGTGGTCGTTTAATATTAGAAGAAGTTGTTTTGCTAGTTGATCTAGCCAATACTGTTTGTCCAATTACCCGCAAATCAGAAGACCTCGAAAGTATGCTGAAACTTGCTGGTTTTGTCGATGTACGTGTTACCAATATTGCTCCCGTTTCTGACGAGACCTTGGCTGCTTACTTTCGTTTATGGGGAACAACCAAGGTTGAACAAGGTGTTGCTCGTTTATCAGGTAAATTTGGTGTGGCTCATATTGAAGCCAAGAAGCCTGCTTATGAGGTTGGTCAAAAGATGACCTTGAATTTCAAAAAGAAGGCCAACAACAAAAAGGCTGTTTGGGCAGCTGCCAACACAGACGATCTTGAAGACGAGGATGCTTTATTAGATGAGGCCGACATGGTTAAGCCTAGTAGGGAGTCTTTGGTTAGACCGGATGATTGTGAATTGACTGATGGAAAAAGAAAGGCATGTAAGAACTGTACTTGTGGAAGAGCAGAAGAAGAACAGGCAGAACAAAACAATGTTGTATCATTGGACTTGATGGATGACATTCAAGATGAAGTTATTGAAGTTGACCCTACACCAAAGAAGACAGGTGGTTGTGGTAGTTGCGCTTTGGGTGATGCTTTTAGATGCTCCACATGCCCTTATTTGGGTATGCCCGCATTCAGTGCAGGTCAGAAGATTGCTTTAGGTGGCATGTTTGCTCAAGATGACATTGAATTTTAAATACCTTTCTTTCTTTATTTTCATTCTGTATTTCTTTAATTATACACCTACCTGTAATCAATTTGTATCATATACTTTTTAAAAGAATAAACCAAAAAAAAAAAAAAAAAATTGCACTTAAGACTTTTAGAGGGTAAATTAGTTGTTGTTCTTTGAAAACATTTCAACAACCATTGACCTCTCTAGAAGGGCATGAAAGAGGAGTTCGATATCAATGTCTTGTTATAGCATTCATTCTATTTTACATAAAATAGATTGAGAATGAGTTATGTTCTTGATACGACTATCATTGTATCAAGATAAAACGATATATGTAAAGGAGTTTAGATACAGCAAGACCCATTAGTTGCTGGTTCTTACCTTTTCTGCTGAGGCAATACTTGTGGAAGCTTTACTGCTATATTTATGCCCGAGATGGTCATTGTCCTTGCTCTGGCCTTTGGTATATTTACAATTACTATTGTTGCTTTCTTGGATCAATTGAAGTTTCTCTTTATATTCTATGTCTTTGATGCCGGGAATAATAATTAATGTATAGGTATGCCATTCAATCGTAGCTCTTACAGTTTCAATGCAAGTCTACCATTGTTTTATGAAGCTTTAGAGGAACTGTACTTATACCTCAATTATCAATAGAAAATAACTTGAAAGGCCTCTCACTTCCAGCATTTATAATTATGTCTAAAATTCACTCTAAAATTCGGTAATGTCTTTTTTGTTTTTCTCTTGTTGTTTTGGGTGCTTCTAATGATAGTTCGAGTGGCTTCAGGTTCAGATATTAAAAATTGTAGGACGATTTTTCTTAAAAAAGCTAGACATTTTTTTTTGGGGGCGACAATAAGAAATTCTATTGGAATATGGCCGGAGTTTCTTCCCAGGCAAAATTTTTCGTTTTAGTCATGAATAAATAGACAACTCCTTTTTTTCTCTCAATTGGTCACCTCTTTCAACTTTTTTCTCTTCTTTTTAAACATGTCTCTTGCTCGCATTTCATTTGTAAGAGCACTGATATCGGTCCGAATGAGAGCTCATTTACCAACGATTTATCAACAAACAGCCAAGAAGAGTTTATTTAATATGAGTAATCAAAAAAGAGAATATTCTAGTAGGCCAGTTGAAAATGCCAATTTTCAAAGTGAGATTTTTTTTTGCTGTTGTCTTGCTGTGTAACTTACTTTTACCCCACTTAGGAAGACCAAAAGTGACCATTAAAACAATTCAAAGCATGTATCGAAAAAAGGAACCTATTTCTATGATGACAGCTCAAGATTATCCTTCTGGCCTTGTTGTTGATCAATCTGGTATTGATGTCTGCTTAGTGGGTGATTCTTTAGCCATGGTCAGCCTGGGATATGATTCTACTAATCCACTCACCGTCGAGGTATGAATAAGAAAGAGAAGTGAAAAATGAAAAAACTAATGATTAACAGGATATGTTGCACCATTGCCGTGCAGTTGCAAGAGGAGCAAAGGCGCCTTTTCTTGTTGCAGATTTACCTTTTGGTAGCTATGAAGTTAATCCCGATGATGCTGTCAGAGTGTCCTTGAAGTTTATCAAAGAAGGCAATTGCGATGTAAGGGGATTCAAATAACAATAGAGTTAGAAACTCAACTTTATCTAGGCAGTAAAATTAGAAGGCGGCGTAGAAATGGCAGAGACTATCCATAGAATTACACGAGTGGGTGTTCCTGTATTGGCACACATTGGCCTTACGCCCCAAAGACAAGCTGCTTTAGGTGGTTTTCGAGTTCAGGGCAAGACAGCAAAGCAGGCAAGTGCTTTATTAGAGGATGCTTTTGCTGTACAAGAAGCTGGTGCTTTTGGTGTTGTCTTGGAGGCTATTCCTTCTGAAATTGCTGGCTACATTACACAACAGTTGAAGATTCCTACTATTGGCATTGGTGCTGGTGTTGATTGCTCAGGACAGGTTTTGGTTCAAAACGATGCTCTTGGTTTGTTTGACAAGTTTGTACCAAAGTGAGTATTAATCATGTGTTTCAAGGATTGTGTTCACTAAATTTATGTTGTAGATTCACCAAGCAATACTGTAACCTGAATCAAATCATTACAACAGCATTAAGAGAATACCATGAAGAAGTAAAGACGAGAAAGTTCCCTGCACCACAAAATACTTATCCCATTGATTCTGTTCAATTGGAAAAGTTCTTTGCTTCAGAAAGAGAAAGAACAGGCGTTCATCATCAAGAAGATAATAACAACAGTAGAACAGCTCATGCCTCCATGTGAAATATATATATATCCCTATTTTTTGAAAATCAATAATAAAAAGCAAGTCTTGATTAGAGTTAAAAAATAAGAATGAGGAGATTTTTTTATTATATGAGGGGAAATGTACAGAGAAATGTAAGGGTAAATGAAGGGTAACAAGAAGTCTTATCTTCTTTCGAATTGCATTGCACAATTTTGACCAGCAAAAGCGGGCTTCTTTGTCAATTTATATTCATCCATCATGCTAGTAACAGCTTGAATCACTTTTTGTTGCCCTTCTTTATCTACTCGGACTTGTCCGCGTTTGTAGACAATTTCTATCTTGACTTTGTTGCCTTTATCCAAAAACTGAACTGCCTTGTTTAATTTGTGCTCCATATCGTGAGGACTGACGTTCCATCCAAACACAATTTCTTTCAAAACAGATTCAGGTGCTGTTTGTTTCTTCTTTTTGTTTTGCTTTTCTTTTTCAAACATGACTTTTTTATCAAGCAAACGACATACTGGATTGGGTTTGGCAGTAGGGTCGACTTCAACAAGAAAATAGCGAGATCGATCACAATTGGATAAAATATCAATTACCCGACAACGACTGTGGACTTGACCTTGTTCGTCAACATAGGTAATAAAACGTGAGGTGATTTCTTCATCTCTTCTGGGTCTTCCTAAATTGGGCTTTTGGGACTGTTGTGGTTGAGGTTGCAAGCCAGTTAAAGGTTGAACAGGCTTTAAAGGACGATTACCAACAGGCTGTCTTGTACGTTGGTTGCTTACACGGATAGGAATAGCTTGTGCAAGAGAGCTATAGTTTCTTACAAGATTCCAAGTAGGCTTCAATAAGGTTGAACGAGAAAACATGATAAGCAAAGCAGAAAAAAAAGCAAGTTTAAATTGAAAAAAAAAAAGTTTATTTCTAGCACCCTGTTTAAATTCAAAAGTCGTCACGAGAGTTTAACTATCCCTGTTTGGAAGTCAAAGCAAGTTATTTGATGGGCTTTGTTTCCCCCTTACTCTTTATCAAATCACATGCATTTGTTGTTAGCCATGGCTTATGAACTACTGATTGAAATGTCAATTATTGAATTCCCAATAGACTACCTATATTAACACAGAATACTTTTTTGGAGCTATAGATACATAGAGTATGTAAAAAAAAAATATTATGATAATTCATGCAACAACGCTTGAAAAGCATGAATGTACGGACTTGAATAAATGTTGTAAACTGCAAAAGTGCATACAACTGCGTAAGAAGTAATCAACCCCCGAGATGCTGCAAAATGTAATTTCCGGTACACTGATAAAAATGGCATTGTTTATCGGTCAAACGTTTTGAGTAACCCTCTTATTTTAAGACAAAGCAAATAAACTGGTCAACGTTTTTTTCGAACAAGCATTCACTAGCAGAAGTATTATGCAGCAAATGGCTTCATCTACTGGTAGTTTCGCTTTTTCTCTCACGCATGCGTGATAGTCGGTAAGTTAAAACAATATTCGTCCCTTTCGATAAACGTCATGTGAACCGTAACGCAGTTTATATAATTACCGTGAATTATTTTCTTTTTCCCTTTTTCACTTTCTTCTTGTTTTTTATGAAAAATTGGTTCAAAAAGACAGAGGTCATTGTTATTGGTCTCTTGGCTTTACTGTGCTTAGATAAAGCGCAGGCTACTCAGCAAAATGATATCGGCTTTATAGACATAACACCCAACTATGACTTAGTGTCGCCTTTTCGTTTAAAGGGAACCAAGGAAGACGAGTGTCCTCCTTGTTTCAACTGTATGCTGCCTGGTTTTGAGTGCCTTCACTTTGCTAATTGTTCCGAATACGATGGCAAGTGTAACTGTCCTCCTGGTTTTGGTGGAGAGTCTTGTAAACAACCTCGTAAGTGAGAGAGAAGTTAGTAAGGATGCCCATAGTTGACACATGAAACACAGTATGCGGTGGTTTAGATGAAGGAAGAAACCGATATCCTAGAGAAAACGGAACAACTTGTGATTGTCCTGATGGTTGGGAAGGCATTAATTGTAATGGTAAGTAGGAAGGAATAAAGAATTTATCTTTTTTTGATATGCTGATCCGTTTTTTTTTTTTTCTCTTGTATGTGTATGTAGTATGTACAAGTGATTCTGTGTGTGATTCCCTAGTGCCCACAGGTACTAATGGTACTTGTTATCGTGGTGGTCTTACTGTATATGAAAATCACCAAATGTGTAATGTTACGAGTAAGTGGTATATTTAAATGATAACTACACATATTTACTCTTTTTTAGATCGCAAGATTTTAGATCAACTCAAGGATCAAATACCCCAAGTTACTTTCTCTTGTAACAAGAATCAGGCTACTTGTGACTTCCAATGTAAGCAATGTGCAGCATTAGTGTCTCATAGACTTATTTTCTTTGTTAGTCTGGGTGGATCAAATTGAGTCGTTTTATTGTCATTTAGACAAGTGCGCTTTTGATCAAAGTAAGTTCAGGTCTATAAAGTGCTTTATTGATTCTGAGTTTTAGCTCACGAATATGACAAAAACACAACAAAATACAGCTGCGAAACAATTGACTGTCGTTGTATTCCTGATGAAATGCTGTGTGGAAAAGATGGATCCATTGGTAAGTGTGTAAAATTAACAAATCATCCCATCTCTAACTTGTCCAATATAGATCTTACAGGTACCCGACAAGTAATTTCTTAGGCACAACTAACAGAACTGGCTATAGATTTACTCAAAGATGAAATCAAGGGCCCTGCTTCTTTCAAATGTAACGGCAAAGATTGTGCATTTTCTGAACCTGCCATGGACGATTTAATTTCAGCAGTCTTTGGTGATGACTCCATTTTCTTGTCATGTAATTCAGGTGAATGTCTTCACTACACCATGGTTCCAGGATTTGAACGTGGAGAAAGACCTATCAACTGGGTGATGATTGGAAGTGGGTTAGGCGGCGTTACAGTATTTTTGATCATAGTTTCGTCTATTGTGAACTATCTTGCTCGAGACTCCACCAAGCATACTCAAATTCAATTGGCTGATGATGAAGCAGGAAAATTAATGTCAGAACATACACCTGTCGATCTCACTTTTCACAACATTGGCTATACACTACCTACAACAAAAAAACCCATTCTCGAGAATGTCACAGGTAGAGTAGAATCAGGTCAAGTCATGGCTATCATGGGTCCTTCTGGTGCAGGCAAGACTACACTGTTAGATATCCTTGCCAATCGTACAAAATCAGGTCAGGTTGCTGGTCAGATTTATGTGAATGGTCGTCCCATCGCTCGTGATGCCTATGCTACACTTATTGGCTATGTAGATCAGGAAGACATTATGATTCCCACATTGACTGTTTATGAAACTATCCTTTACTCTGCTTTACTGCGTTTACCTCGATCCATGAGTAATGAAGCAAAAAAATTTAGAGTGATGGAAGTCATGCAAGAGCTGAATATTGATAGCATAAAGGACAGCAAGATTGGACATGCAGACGATCGCTCAATTAGTGGCGGTGAACGCAGAAGAGTTGCAATTGCTTGTGAATTGGTGACCTCACCCTCAATTTTATTCTTGGATGAACCTACAAGTGGTTTGGATGCGTACAATGCGTACAATGTGATTGAATGCTTGGTTACTTTGGCACGCAATTACAAGCGTACAGTTGTCTTTACTATTCATCAGCCAAGATCTAATATCGTCACATTATTTGATCATTTGGTCTTGTTGGCTAAGGGGCACACTATTTACTCTGGATCTCAAGCCCATACACAAGGATACTTTAGTTCTATTGGCTACAGCTGCCCATCTGGTTTCAATATTGCGGATTATTTGATCGATTTAACAATGGGCGCTATCAAACAAGATGGCCATGAAATCAGTTCTCAAGCAGTAAATGTTATTGTAGAAGATGGGGAAGATGCAGTACAAAATAACACCGATGGGCTCACACCTCATTTGCGAAAACTAACTCAACAATACGAACAAAGTTCAGTTGGCACTGAGTTACGTGAAGAAGTTCAGCAACTCTTATTGGATCAGAGCAGTGCAAGCAGTAGTAACGAAGTTGAATCAGGTGATACAACTATCATTACTTCACACAAACGACCCAGTTGGCTCACTCAATTCCATATTTTATCATCAAGAACATTCAAGAATCTTTACCGTAACCCTATGTTGATGTTTGCCCATTATGCTATCGCCGTTGTACTTGCCTTGATCTGTGGTGGATTATTCTACCAAGTTTCAAACACAATTGCAGGTTTCCAGAACAGGATGGGTCTATTCTTCTTCTTTGAAGCTCTGCTTGGTTTCATGTGTTTAACTTCTTTGCAAGTATTCTCAACTGAACGTATTCTTTTCATTCGTGAACGTGCTAATGGTTATTACTCACCTGGTACTTATTTCTTTGCCAAAGTTTTGTTTGATATCATCCCATTACGTGTTGTACCTCCATTGATGATGGGCTTGGTTTCTTATTATATGGTTGGTCTGGTCGAAGGTGTACCTCAATTCTTCAAGTTTTTGCTTGTCTTGGTCTTGTTTAATTTGACTGCTGCTGCTCTTTGTTTAGCTATTGGTGTTGTCTTCAAAAATCTGTCAATGGCAAATCTGTTGAGTGTCTTGGTCATGTTGTTTTCTATGCTTTTTGCAGGTTTATTGCTCAACAAAGGTAAGTCCAATCTAGCTTTGGATAGCTCCAGAACTAACTCAATGAATAGATAGCATGCCTCCATGGTTCTCTTGGCTCAAATATCTTTCATTCTTTAATTATGGTTTGGAAGCATTATTAGTGAACGAAATGCTCTATTTACAGCTTGTCGAGGAACGCTTTGGATTAAGCATCGATGTACCTGGTGCAACTATTTTATCGACATTTGGTTTTAACGCAAAACATTACTGGAACGATGTCATTTGCTTGGCTTCCATGTTCACTGGATTAATTGCATTTGCATTTATTTGGCTTGTTTTTGTCGTAAAGGAAAAGCGATAATTTCTTGTTTTATTTTTACTTCTTTTTAATAGTATATAGTTTATTGTTATTTTTTACATCAACTTGTTTAATCAGTAATACAAAGATCTTGCTTACGATCCTTTGCATAAACGTCCTTGTATTTATCATAAATGGATTGCAACTCATCAATATATAATTTCTGGACTTGCAAAAGTTGTTCTTGAGTAGGTTCTGTTTGACCTTCTTCTAAAGCAGGCACGGGTATAGGACAGCCAACTATTTGCATTTAGTTTGGGGGTTTTCATGCAAACGAACTTACCAACTGTAGCAATTTGGTGTCTAAAAGGAATGATACCAACATCATCTAATACAAATTTACCTCAGTATACTTTATATTACAACCTAGTCATAATTACTTACAGTTAAAGATACCTCGAGCATGAAACAAAGGCATTGTAAATCCAAGCAACGACTGCATCTTTTTCTGAAACATGAAAACCTTACTTCCTTTTGTATTATCCACTTGATCATAAAGATCGTTCTCACCAAATGAAAATACGGGCACAAGGGGCGCTTGGTTTTTGATAGCCAAACGAATAAATCCTAGTCGTTTACGCAATACTAAATCTGTAATACCAGGTCTAGCATTCAGAGACTCTGCTGCACCTCCAACCACAATCACAATAGATCGACCAGGACCTGATTTTAAGATGTTTTCACACGAACGACGTGAGACGGAAGCCATACCTAGCGACATGATGAGATCGCGATAAAATGGGATACGGAAATTGGAATTCAATGTGAGCAAAGAAGGCTTGATGCCCGGAAATGTTGCTGAAAACCCAGTTGCTTCAGTAGCAAAATTAGCGAATGCACCCATAGAAATAATGCCATGTGGATGGTAGCCCATGACATAATTCTTGGAAGGGTCTAAATCTGCTTCCTTTCAAGAAATAGACGTCAACCATCTTGATTTTATGACTTTTCGCTGTTCTTACCTTGATCAGTTTAATAGGAAAATAGTTTGCAAAATACTTCCAAATAATCCATTTTCGAGCATTGTCGAAGCGTCGACCACCAGACTCGGGTGCTTTATCTATCCAGAGAAAAGAAACATAGGCAATGACAATAGGCCATAAGAATGTGTATGTCGACATAATGATAAAAGTAGAAAAGCAAATAAACACAAGACTAATCCATGTACAAACAGCCAGCATTTGTAATCTTCTTTCGATAGGAATACCTCGAACAGGCGCCCAGCGTACTGGATGCTTTTCTGATTTTAATGCTGACTTTTCGCTCTTTGATACTGCTTCTTTTGTCTCCTGAGTACTCATAGTGTGTAAAGAAAAGAAAGAAAGAAAAAAATTAAACTTGCTCTTAAAGCATTCTGTCATACCTTTTCACATGCTATATGTTACACACATTTACTCATTTTCATGATTATTTATCGCCTCGTCTATAACGCAAATGGTTATGTGACTGTGATGTATTATATAATTATCAAACATGACAATATATTTAAGCTTACTCACATTGTTTACTCTTATTTCACCTATAATAGGGAAAATCTTCACACTTGAAACTGACAATAAATATTTGTTTATAAGTACCAAAGAGAGACTACTTTTCTTGTTTTTATCATAATAAAGAGAAGCATTTTGAGGGAATATAACTATCTACAAATAGGCAACTGTCTTACTAGCTTCAAGAATAAGCTGTGTTATTTGACAGACTACAGTGTTTGAACTTTAGATTTGGACCTTTTAAAGAAATTTCTCGGACGTAAAGAAGAAATTTGCCGGACAATAGAGATATTATTTTATTTAGTCCAGCAAATTTCTTTAAAAGGTCCAGATCTAAAGTTCAAACACTGCAAAATAATAGTAATCAGCGAAGCGGGAAAGCCCAAATGGTCTAGTAAGACTGTAACAATAGGTTCGAGAGAAGCAGCCTTTCTTAAATTGAGCACCAGGATCTGATTAACCCTAGCATAGTTTGAAATCAGACGGGGCGATTTGGTAAGGTGTGATAAGCAAAGGTAAAGACATGTTGAACTGATTAACAAAACGCTTGGCGAACAATTTTGTATCACTGTTGAGTAGAAAAAGAGGGTGCTATTATGTACAAATAATACAAAGATGATAGTTTATTCAAGGGACAAATATTCTTCCAGATACTTGATTTTCTTACACTTTAAATCGAGGACAGCCTTTTCAATCCCTACTTTATCTTTTAATTGTTCTAGGATTCTCTTAACACCTCTCTTATCATCGCTGGTGATGGTGGTGATGGTGGTAGAAGCAGGAGCACTGTCACTTGTGGTGGTGGTGGTTGGTGCGCAGCAGCAACAAGTGTTTGGTGGTGTCAGCCTTGTCTGGGTGGCGGAAAGATCCTATAACAAAGTTTTTGTTAATAATGACTCTTCGGTCAATGAACTTCAAACTTACGTATTTAGCTTTGACACCATTGTAAATAGTTTCATTAATAAATATTCCTTGTAAATCTCTGCAAAGCGAATTTCGTCTACATGAATATGTTTTGAAGAAATCGGCAGCTTCTGTTGGTTTCTTAAAGTGAACTAGACAAAAACTATAAAAAAAATGAATGAATAGGTATAATTTGTAGAATGTTGTACCTACCCGGCTACTTTTTGAGGTTTGCACACATGTTTACATTTGATTATTGAACAACGGTTTATACTGGTCTCAACTTCCTCTGCTGGCTTTCTTTTTAGCACATAACCCCCAATAAACACTTGAGGACATCGCGATTCAATATGAAAATCTGGAGATGATCATGATTGACTTAATCCAAGAAGAGGGCTTATCGATACCTAAAGCAGCAAAAGCATGCGGTATTCCTCGTAGTTCTGCCTATGAGCTTGTTAAGGAATACAACGAATCAAAAGCAACAGTTGTACCAGCTAGTCTTTCGAAAAAGAGAGGACCACATCCTAAGAAGCTTTTTGATGAGTATTCGAGGTTTCTGATCGACCTATTCGACAAAAAGCCGACGACTACTTTAGCGGTTACTCGAGAAGAGCTTTGCAAAAACTTTGATATACTGGAGATCTCTATAAGCGGCCTTCACAAACACATAACCGAGAAGTGTTGGCTGTCATTGAAGAATGCCACAAAATATACACGTGAAAGAGATTCTCCCCACACTATCGATTTACGAAATGAGATTGTCAGCGAATGGAAGCGTGTAGGCGTAGACTTTCAAAAGAACTTCGTCTTTATTGACGAGGCTGGGTTTCATTCCCAAATGATGAGAAACAGGGTGTGGTCAAGAAAAGGAGTGCCTGCCATCGTCAAAATACATACACAAAAAGGTTTCAACGTCAGTATTGTTGGTTGTATTGCGTCTTTTGGTATAGTTAATTTCTCTAAAGTAGATCCAATTAAAAAAGTTGATGCCAAAATCATTGAAAGAGAGTTTCACGCTAAGGAACAGAACAAGGGGAAGAAAAGAAAACCAAACAATCAAAAGGAGGTTAAGCCAAAAATCAAAAAAGGAACTACCGCTTATCATATTGTTAGGTTTCTTGAATCTGTTATGGACATCCTGGACAAGCTAGACAGAAAAGGATATTTTATTGTCATGGATAACTGCCGCATTCACCATTCTAAATTCGTTGTAGAGGCTATCAACGTGCGTGGTTACAAGCCTCTTTTTCTACCACCTTATTCTCCTTTTCTTAACCCGATAGAAGAATGCTGGTCAAAAATTAAGAGCAACATAAGAAGGCACCCTTTGGATACGGGTGATACATTAACTCCTCGTATAACAGAGGCATGTTTGACAGTAACAACTGATAACTGTGTTGGTTGGATCAGACACGCGGAATCTTACTGGGATGGATGTCTCAACAACGAGAGAGGTTTGAAATGATTTTTTTAAATCATTAAATCAACTAATAAAAACGGCGACAACCTATTACTGTCTTAGACAATATATTCACTTGGTCTGAAAAAAGTATTCAGTTGGTCTGAAAATAATATTTCTATTGTCTGACAAATTTCTTTAAAAGGTCCAGATTTAAAGTTCCAACACTGTATTTTGCCGTTTTCTTTTCGTGCAACAAACTATAATTAACTACTTCCTTTATCAGAGGGGAAATATGAGCAGCCTGCAACACATAATGCTTACAGGCACGTCTATGTAATAATCAAAAGAACAAGGGAATCAAACTATCCATACGAATTATAGGACTCCAATATAAGATGTTAAACAATAAAAAAGTATCTTCCCTCGTGTCTTTTCTTTCTTTGTAAAGCCTCTTGTAGTCTACATTTTTATAGGTCATGCTGTAACCTGGTTTTGTTTTCTTCATTTAAAAATAATATTTTTTCCAAATTGAGGCAAATTCTCTCGAAACCATGGCTGTCGTCTTTATTTTGTACTACTTAAAATAAAGCTCCTGCTTTTTCTTGAACTGTTTAAAAAAAGAATTTTTCTTAAGGATTTCTTTCTTTTTTTTTATCTTTATACACACCCATTCAAAATGAAGTTCTTTGGCATTACTACCGCTGCCTTAGCCGTTCTTTCAGTTTCAAACCAATTGGCTCAAGCAGCCACTACTGCTGCTCCTTGTGACCCTAACACTTGTAAACTTCCCAGTTGTCTCTGCCCATCTTTGACACCCCCTAATGGGCTTTCTCCAAAGGATGTGCCTCAATTCGTTACCATCACTTTTGATGATTCAATCCAACCCGAATTGTTGGCTACCGCTAAAGATTTGTTGAATGTCAAGTAAGTAATAGCCTTTAAAACTTAAATCGTTGTGCCTGTTGTCTCTTTGGTACTAATGCATTTTACCTCCTTTTTCCCCTTGTTTTTTTATTAGAAACCCCAATGGATGCACTGCAAAAGTAATTACATTTTATTCAATGAAGAGCATCAGCCTAACGTGTTTATTAGGGTTCTTGGTATGTTTCGATGCAATACACCGACTTTTCCTTGGTCCAACAGTGGTATGCACAAGGAAATGAAGTTGCTGAGTAAGTTGTCGTACAGACAAAGCAGAAAATAACAATGGTGACACTAATATGTTTATTTATTCTAGTCACACCTTTACTCATGTTGGTAAGTAAGATACTTCATGTATCGTATGCATGCTTATATTTGTTTTCCTTTGATGCTATTTATCAGGTTCCCCATCTGCCCAGTAAGTGTTGTATATTTTTTTTAAAAGAAACATATTTACTGATTGCAAACTTTAAATAATAGAGAAATTGCCGCTGCTAGAGCCATGTTGAACCAATACGCTGGTATTCCTCTCGGTAAAATTAAGGGTTTTAGAGCCCCCTTCTGTAAGTATATATACCGTCTCAATTCTATTGCAGTTGACTAATTTGTTATTCTATGCGATTGCAGTGAATTACACCCAAGATACTTTGAGAGAAATTGCCAAGCAAGGTTTCTTGTATGATACTTCAACTACTGGTGTTGTTGATGATTGCTACTGGTATGGTTCAAACTGATTGTTTTGTTATGATTGATGACTAATTTACTATTTTTTTTTTAAAAAAAAATAGGCCTTATACTCTTGATAATGGTTTGGCCAACGATTGTTGGAATAACGTTTGTGGTAGTGACCTTAAGCTCCCTGGTAATTAGTACAATATACGTTTTTGTAAAATTAGAAACTTATGAAGAATAGGTGTTTGGGAAATCCCTATGTACGCTGTTAACGATAATGCCGGTGTTGCACAATTGATGGATGTTTACTTGGCTGGTTCTCCTTCCGATGTCACTGCCTGGTCTAACACCAACTTTGATAGACATTACAATGGTAACCGTGCTCCATTCGGTATTTACGTTCATCCTAGTAAGTATTTTATTATATATATTGCTTTAATCTTAACCTTTTTTCTTCCTTAGCCCACTTGACCAAGTACCCCTCTCTCGCTGATCCTACTGCACAAAAGGACGCCGTTATCAGTTTTATTCAATCTCTTCAAAGCAAGCCTGATGTTTGGTTTGTCACTAACGAACAACTCTTGCAATGGGTAAATTTGATCAACATATGAGTAACGCTTTGACTAAGCATTCAAAACGATAGATGCAAAACCCTGTTCCTGCTAGTCAATTAGCTGACCAACCTTACATGAAGTGTGAGCTTCCCAACACTGGTAAAGAAATCTGTAACGGTCTAGAAAACGTGACCATCACAAGTGGTGTTGTTTCTGGTAGTCTCTTGAACTCTTGTAACTTCAACACCGTCAACTGGGCTACTTGTTTCAACTGTCCTTCTACTGTTCCTACTGTTGACAACCCCACTCCTAACACTGCCGTTGCAAGCACAGATGCCAAGTACCGTCACCCTGTTCCTAACAACTGTGATAGTATCTGGTGGGATCCTATTGCCGGCCAATGCTTATGTACAGGCACTTCTTGCGCTTACAATGATACTTCTGTTCCTATCAGCACTGGTGCCTCTGCTTCTAGCAGCGCAACAGGTGCTTCCCCTAGCTCTAGCGTTGCCTCTCAAGCAGCTTCTTCTCAAAAGACCAGTGGTGCTGATGATTTGACTGTCTCTGTTGCAGGCTTTGCCTTGAGCATGGGTGCTGCCATGATGCTCTTGTAAATGCATATTTGATTATTGTAACTTTTTTAATTTTTCTAAATGGAGTAGCCTATGAATACTCTTCATTGTTGTAAAAGTAATTTCTTTTATTATTATCATTTCAATAATAAACATCTTCTTCTAGTAACATAACTCATTTTCTAATGTCTTGTTTATTGAGAAATATTTAAAGATTGTGCTCTTTCTATATAAAGAAAGCTTGCATTGAAAAACTTTCGACATGTTGACATCTCAGCCACTAGTGAATAAAAGTCACGGAAGTTCGTGAATTGACTTGCTTTTCTGAGCAAAAAAAAAAAAGTGAGGACAACTCTTGTTTTTCAAGACAAAAAAAAAACATATACATAGACCATGGCCATTGAGGAAAAGAAGCGCAAGCATAAAGAGAGTTCAGAAAAGAGTAGCAAAAAAAAGCACAAGTCTGCTACAAAGATCACCACACCTGCTTCTCCCGTCACTACTATTGCAACAACACCAACTGTTTCAAGCTCTTTCTCGGAAGTTGTAGTCAAACTCTATCTTCACTTGGCCCCTATGTGGTCCGGAAAGACTATGGAAGGCGTCAACGAACAACTGAATGCATTTTTGATGAAGTAAATAGCATTTCGAAGAAGAAAGGATATAGATATATATATTTAACTTTGATTATTAGATACCTTCCTGAAGTTGATGGCGTTGTTCTTGCACATTCTGACGTGAAATTCGTGACAGAGAAAGGAAAAATCCTCTATGACTCACCTTTCTTTCACTTTTTCATTACAGCCAAATTCTTGGTCTGGAAACCTAAAAGAGGATCCAAACTTGGTAAGAACGAAGTTGCTAGTGCGATAGAGAAAGAATGCCTAATTCTCGTAATAGTTGGACGCATCAACTTGCAATCAGAAGATCATATTGGTCTTTTAATTTATGGCACCTTCAACGCTTCTATTCCAAAGTCTCGCATACCTTCTTCTGTCTACGAATGGAAAGTCAATGAAGAAGAAACAGTGCCTGAAGTGAAGCAAGAAGACGAGACTGAGCAAGAATCGGAACCAGCAGCTGAAGAAAGAACTAGAACTCAATATGGTGAATGGATCAATAAATCCACTGGCAGTAGTATTGGTGGTGAAGATGGTACACTTGAATTTAACGTAGTTGAGTATGTATTTTTTGTGTTTATAATGTCCATGTATTAACTTTATATCTATTAGCATTATTGAAGCCAATGACATTTTGACTGTTACTGGATCTCTTTAGACTGTAAATTAAATATTGACAATACAAAAAAAAATCAACCTTTCCTCAGAACGCACATCCACACGTAAACACACATACACCTCTTTACATTTTTATATTAAACTATTATCTGCATGCCATATACATTTTGAAAAAAGCGGGGTTGTACATTGTGAATGTTTGAATGATATAATATTAAAAAGCATTATGTCTAAACATTCAAGCAATGTGTGTACGAATAAGAATTTCATATAAAAACGATCTAGAACAAAGCAACTGAGACAGTTTTGTACTGTGTACCAAAAATATAAAGTGGTATGTTAATTGTCAGTCTATGTCATCGTCAAAGGAAGAACAAGCAGTAGTAAAACAACGCTGTTAAGGGAAACTTCTTGTTGTACTTTATTTAATCTACTAGCTGCATTGAGATAACAACAAGCGTCTAATATAAAACGAAAATTCATTATTTAGCACCGGTCTTCTTGCTGTGAGTCTTCTTTTCAACATGCTTTTTATCGGTGTGCTTCTTGGCGTGAACCTTCTTGGTGTGCTTGAGCTTCTTTCCGCGAACTTTCTTTGCCTTTGTAGCCTTCTTGGCAGCATGGGAAGCCTTCTTAGCATCATGAGAAGTCTTAGCATCGTGAGAAGCCTTAGCATCGTGAGAAGTCTTCTTGGAAGCATGCTTAGCGACATGAGAAGCCTTCTTAGCACCATGAGAAGCCTTCTTAGCACCATGAGAAGCCTTCTTAGCACCATGAGAAGCCTTCTTAGCACCATGAGAAGCCTTCTTAGCACCATGAGAAGCCTTCTTGGAAGCATGCTTGGCAGCATGGGAAGCCTTAACAGCAGCAGCTCTCTTAACAATAGAAGTAGAATACTATTTTTGTTGTATCAATATCAATTGAACTTGCTTTTATGCGCTTGGCGCTTCTTACCTTGACACAAATAGTCTCACCAGCCTTGACAGTGTCACAGCTGAAACCATCTTTGAATTCTTCATTCCAAGTCTCGATGTGGCTTACAGTAGTACCATAATCTGAGGCGATACTATCGCATGTCTCGCTAGCACCAACTAAATTAAGGGATCAGAAAATGATGTTTTATACAAACAGTTTACTTACCAATATGAGTTTGTTGGCAAGGATGAGGGAAATGGTCAATTGCGGAAGCGATAGATAATAATGAGAGGACGGAGGAAGCAACGATGAATGACTTCATGTTAATAATAAATGAAATATTGTTTAGATAAAGAAAATGACTTGTAAACCCTTTGGTTTTTATACTCAAAAGACCTTCGCTTCTAGAATGCCATGTGCGAACTGTTTATCACTATATGCGATGTGTCTATAATAGGTACTTGTTTATGTGGCACAATTTCAAATTATTTTTGATGTTTGCCAAGATGTATTTCCTTAATTTGTAAATATTATCCTGAACTATTAAGTCTTCCACATGGACCAAGTCTTTTTAAACAAAAAGAGGGTAGTACTAACGCTGTAATTAAATAAATCCTTTTTTGGGTAGCCAAGATAATTGAACTCTTCTTTGGTGCATCAATTAGTTCTATCAAAGAATATTAAATGTCAAAAATAACAGCTGTATTAATTTATATTGCCGAATTTAAACTATTCTACCTGCACATGATCTCAAAATACTCATCAAAACAAATCAAGTACTTTTTTACTTGTTTTTGATCGAGATTGGGTCAAACGACTGCGCTTGGAGACTTGTCGATCGTACGTTGTATCAGCATTATATTTAGAATCGGGTAAACGTCAAATATGATTCCTGGCAATATAATTTGTGTTCATGAAATGCCTATTTTTATGATTCTGTTTCCAAAGGAAGACATCAAGAGATGCTTGTCGGAAGCTATTTGCTTTGAATAAGAACAAAGCATTCAAAGTATTTAAAATAGCCATAAGAGGACAATTTTGAGAAACCAAAACTCAATTAGTACACTCAGCACGCCATTTTAAGAATAAGGAAGTTCCGTTTAGCAGAATTAAATTTTATACGTTTACTTTTGGTTTGATTGAACAAAGACATAAAAGCGACCAGGCAAGGTAAGTCAGTCTTTCATATAATTGAAAAGAGTAGATCTGACTTGCTTATCTCTGGAATTGCTTTTAGCGTATGAAAATCACTGTTGAAGCCAATTATGTTCAAGATATTTAAAAAAACTGGGTCTGTAAATAGAGCTTAGTTTAAATGTGTTGATACCTCATAATTTTGATCTTCATGCACTTACATGAGTATGTACGACATATGAAATTCATTTCTTTTACTCAGCCGATTGAGGTTATCGCATGCCTATACTATATTATAGCTTATTTGTTATATCATATTGTTCGTGCATTTATATCTACACACCTTTTTTTTTAGCTTGACCGAAATGTGCAATGCACATCTATTAGAAACCTTATAAAGAAGCAAATTCAGTAGATTTAAGATTTTTAAGTAAAAAAAACTTCTTTTTTAGGTGCTAGCTACCAAAGTTTTAACACTGCGTTAAGAGTAAGATCGCAATGATGAAGAGCAACATTGTTGTTTGTCCTTTCTAAATTAAGATGTTTGCTGGTTTCTTTTCCTTTTTCTTTTAAGCGTACTTTTGGTTATCATACATGTATATATTCAGCATATTTCTGCTAACCGCCAGCTACCTTATTTTAACTGTTTGCTTTCCAGAAACTTTCTAATAGACCTTGCGGTAGGTTTATTGCGAAATTCAATTCTCAAATGCATTCGTCTAACTTTAAAAGCATTAATTTAAGCAATGATTAAATTGAACTTATCAAAAGAATAGACGAATACACAGACTTTAGTTACCATTCGAACAAGGCATAAAGCTAGTTTATACGTATATGTGTTCTAAATACCTATAAACCTTGTTTACTAACACTCATAATATCTTTCAACTTGGATAAAAAAAAAGCGAGTTGTAAAATTTGGTCATTTTTGCCTTTCGACCAAAGGGTACTAGTCATGAAAATCATCAATTTGACAACTTTCCATGGCTCTTCGGCTTAATTCTCCAAATCGCAACCTTCAGGCCAAAGCTTCTAGCTCAGGCAAGAAGAACAATAATAACAATACTTCTCTTTCTTGAGCTAAAGTAGTGTCAGGTCAGACACGTACCAACTTGTCCTTTTGACAAACTGCCTTCACTCCATCTGTATCGTTTACAGACTCATCTACCATCAGTGAGTCATTCTTGTCCGACTCTACTAAACCAACACCTGTTAACTTGGTTCAACCTTTTATAAAAGGCATTGAAAAAGACAGTGTTCTTATCGATATCACGGATATCAAAGATGAAGAACTCTTGTTTGATGTCCTTCTTGACTTTAACAAGAATATGAACAGGAACGGTGGCTATGAAGATTAATGTGGTCGCGCATCTGAGATCTGCAAATATTCCAACTGTTCGTTCATGGAAACTGTTTGGAGAAAAGACAGTTTGGATCGCCAAACAATCTTGAATAAAGGAGTGTATTTGGTTGACGGTACCTTTATTAAAGGCTTTCCCAGTTACCCAGCTGATACGCACATTGTACAATTTAAATTGGATTGACTCCTTATTATGCCTCTCCGACTTCTAAAAGAAGATATGGAGAATCAGTTCTCCCGCTATGGGCAAATTCTTGATCTTCATATCTATAAGAGCCGTCGTAGCTTCGCTGACCAAGAATACGCAACTCTTAATCTTTCTTCAAATAAAGACCAGACTCAGACATTTGAACCACTCTCTAGAATCATGCTTTGGACAGATGATGATGGGGATGTAAGACACGGACTTTTACAGTGGGACGACATGCCAAATTTCTGCAGACTTTGTCAAGCATCGTATCACTGTCGAGCAGACTGCATGCAATATAAAAAATATTTCAAATGTCATAACTGCAATGAAACAGAACATTTGATGCGTCGATGCCCTCGTAACAATGCTGTTGATCCAATTGTAGCTCCCAGTAAGAAAAGAGTCGTAAAGAAGGAACGTAAGACTCCTGTAACTGTTCTGGCAAAGGAGACTCCTGAAGAACAGACTGCTACTAAGGCAAAAGAACAATTGGAACCGAAAGACAACAATGACATGGATGTGATCCAAGAAAGTACTCAAAATGACAAAGACGATTTCAACATGAACGAAGTGGAGATAATCCCAACTGAGGAAGAAACAGCTGTTCCAGTCGACCCAGTTTCATCTAGTCAACCAAAGACTAGTTACGATGATAAGGACAACATGTTGCAAGCAAAGAAAATTAGTAGACAAGACAATCATGAAGATGTAACCAGCGCTCGTCAAGGCCAAATATCTCTTTCAAAATACGCTACTCAAAAGAGTGTTCACAACAGCCCAATACTCAATGTACAGAAGGTCCAGACAGGACCTCCTAATGCTGAGGAGCAGCATTAATTTTCTTTACATTATTACTTTAACTTATGAAAAATAACACACGTAGAGTCAAAGTTGCGACACTCAACTGTCGTAGCATCAGAAAAACCAATACTTCTTTACAACAGAAACTATACATCCGATACCTTCGTTCCTTAGACATTGATATTTTAGCGTTACAAGAAACTCGCGCTGACACCAATACTATTATTTCAGAACTTAATATGCAATTCCAAACAAAATCTAGTCTTTGGACTAAACATTGTGGAATTATTTCACTAAATCCAAAATATGTCGTCCATGCAGTCCAGATAGACGATTCAGATAGATACATTTTAGCGAAAATACACACAGCAGAGGAATATTCTAATGACACCTCTCGCCCCCTTCCACTCATTAATATCCTCAACATTTATAGACCATCTTCAATAAGCATAAGAGTCAAAGAACAATTTTTCGGTCAGTCATGACTAAAACTAGCGTTCAACTTTATCTCGAAAGTGATCTTTATAATACAGTGATATTAGGCGACTTCAGTTATAGATATGAACATCGATACAGTGATGGACGAGTGAAGGGCCCTCCAGCAGAATGGACAACTTTATTCTCTTCTAGTTATCATGATTGTTTTGAAGGACAGAAGCAAAGTACATGGCAGAGTCGTGGGATTTCATCGACAATTGACTACATCTTTTGTATCAATAGGTTGAAACCTGCTATAGAATGCATTGAACAAGGCTTTCTTTCACTAGCATGGACCGATCACAACATGCTCACTGTTACTTTTCTTATGGCGGCAGAATATACCAAAGGTCCAGGAGCGTGGAAAGCAAACCCTAATTTGGCTAAAAAGAAAGAACTTCGCAGGAAGTTCGCTCAATTTTTAGAAGAAGACGTCCCTCAACTAGCAGAAAGACAAACTTCTTACAATGCTCAAAATAATCGGGATTGATTGAAAACCAGAGTCAAGCAATTTGTCAAACCATATCAACTGGAAGAAACCAGTTGGAGAAAAAAGCAGATATCAAGGTTAAACGGTAAGCGAAATACGATGCTTCGAAGGCAAAAGAAACTCCAAATCTTAGTATGGAGACTACCAGACATCGAAAGACAGATAGCAGCGCTACAGGAAGAAGCCACGGAGATCGATATGTTACGAGCAGGCAAGTTCTGGAGAAAAAAGGGTGAGAAGTCGTCAGGTTACTTGAAAAGAACGATCAAAATACGAGAACGGCAGAAAGCATTGGGTGATCAAGAGAGCAAAGAAAGAATTGTTCATCAGTTTTACTCAGAAACTTTCTCTTCTGAAGCCAGTGATCATAGAGCAGCTCAAAAATGCTATCTTATATTCTTGAAAGAATGTGTTTGAATGATAATCAGCGCCGAATCATGAATTTGCCTATTAGTGTAGAGGAACTTGTAGAAGAAGCCAAGAGAATTCTGAAACAGAGTAGTCCAAGACGGAATGGCCTTCCATACGAAATACTTCGTTTGATTCTGCAGTGTCCCGCATTGCAACTTTTGATCTTTGAAATTTATAACGCTGGACTAAATGGTATTTTTCCACCTTCTTGGAATGAATCAATCATGGTGTTACTTCCAAAGAAAGGAAATTTATCTGAAATGAAAAACTATCGTCCAATCACTTTACCCAATACAGATTACAAGACATTCATTCGATTGTTGAACAGAAGAATAATGCAAGTTGCTCCTCAATTGATCAATCAGTTTCAGCTTGGCTTCGTGTATGGAAGGTTTATTGCCGAAAATGGAACGATTGTTCAGACAATTATGGAAGACGCTCAGAAACGATGGATGGAAGCCCAAAGGAACAACAAAGAAACTATGATCTTGCATTGAT